TTGTGAAGTTTGTTTGCATCTGAACCCACTCTCCCATGGACACAAACTCTCCCACACACAGTGAAGCATACACATGCATATTCTAGAAAACCACAAACCTCCCGACTGTGGGGGAGCTGAAGAGTACGTTGAAAACACTGTGGTTTTTGGGGTAGGCCCACATTCTGAATAACTAAATATCCCAATAAAACTCTAGGATTTAGTGGAATCAAATTTGTCTCGATAGGAAACATGTCTTGATTACTTATGGAGTTATGCTTTCTTTACATTTAACAACTTTATGAATTTCTGTGTGCGGCTTTTGTTTTGTGTCATTTTTTTTCTGTTATTCTAATATTTTTGTAATTGTTTAGTTAGGAAGACATTATTGAGCAAACCAACAGAGCTCAAAGTTGACGTCACCGGAAAACTAGAGAAGTGCCACAAATTGTGTTTTTCCACTGACCTTTAACTTCTGAATAAAAAAAAAAAAAAAATTTCAATGTCAGATTTTGTCCATGTAAAACTGGTGTAGCTGGCAGAACACAATGAAAGCATACTTTCATTGTGTCACCATTCACATGATCACTAACCCGATGTTACCTCGCGACAAAAACTTAAAGAGGCAATGTGAAGTTGTAGGAGGACTGAGTGACGCTTGGATTGACAAGATTTTAATTTAATAGAAGTGAACCAACTGTTTTTTTTTTCACATTAGCAGAAAGTCAGCAAAGTTTTGCTCATATTTGTAGTGAAAACACAGCTAGTGACTTCACAGTCCACCAACTACCGTAACCCTAGTAGAGAAGTTTTAGGCATAAATAAAACAGCACAGCATAAACAACATCAAGTTAAGACTCAAATTTCAGAGCAATGTTAGAACTGTCAAATATGGTTATTGCACCATCATGCTGAGAGACTATCCTATTCTCAGTGGTGCTAAAATATTGGACCCACCAGGAGGAAACAATGAACACCCCGGAGACCTCAAAATCCTTCAACCTCTAATCAGAGGATAAACAATGACAGCTTAGAGTATACTGGGTGTTCCAAAAGGTCAAGGATCCCAAACACTTATACAAACTTCAATAAAAAAAGGATTTTAGAGTTCAAAACATACTTAGCTTTTCTATTTGGAGTTTTTTTTCTGGACAGTCAGAGCTCATTCAAATTCATTCACTTTCCTTTTAATTCCTGTGGGGATCTGTCAAACACTTGCAGCCAGAATTAATGTGCTGCAGACCAGATGCAAATTCTTTAAGAAGTTAATGATTGTACTAGGGCTGGGCAATTAAATGCATTTGCAGTTTAACAAAACAACATTTTTAAAATCGCAGAGGAACAGATTTTTAATCACACTATATTTAACAAGCGTCTGAAATGTCTTGAGAATAGATTTCCCTCCGAGCCCTTTAGGTGGTTGCTAATGCATGAAGTGGGTTTGTTACCACACAGAAAGGTAGAGTGAGTTGCAGCTAGGAGGATGATCCATGCATGCAAGTTAACACTTTTTCACACATTGGTTTAGGGCTAAAACAACATATCAGATTGTGATGAATCGGTTATTGAAATAATCGTCAACTAATTTAGTAATTGATTAACTGTTAGCTGGAGAGTAGAGACAATAAAACATGCATTTAGCTGACAGAGCAACTCACTTAGAGTAGCAATTATGCTACAATTGTAACATGTAAATATTTTGCATTTATGATCAAAAAAATATATTTTTTCATCCATCAATATGCTCTATCCAGAACTCCTCAAATGGAAAAGTTTTAGTATCACCTGGTTTAATTTTCTAAAAAGTCTTCTTTAATGAACCTTTGGCTATCTGATTATTAATCAAAAATAATTCACAGATTAATTGATTTGCAAAATAGTCATTTGTTGCAGCCCTACAAAAGTTACAAGAAAGTCTTGTAACAATGGAGTCTGGGGAAGCAAGGTTTCAAAACTCGAACGTCTGGATGAAACATTTACCAGCTTAGCATCTCAATTTTGTTTAAAGTATTCGCAATTTCAAATTTTTGGCAAAACTGTTTAACCCTAGATTGTATGACAGTCAGTGAGATTTGAAGACCAAATGAAATACAGAGCTGTAGTTGGTCAGGTCTAACCTGAACTTTGTTATTTCTCAATTAGATAATAAAGTATTTGATATGTAGATGAATCTATGAGGCAGCATTGTATTTAATACAATCAAAGCAGGGGAAGAGGTCTGTTTGGCCATTTAATTATAAATTAAAGTGGGTCTAATATTCCATAGGTCTAATTTTTTTAAAACATAAACTTGAACCATTTAATAGGACAAACATACAGTATTTACATAAATGGCATGTGGGTATGATGTTACCATAGTGTTCATTGCTGTAAAAAAGGAATCATGAACAAATAATTATCACACAATTAATAAAACTACTTTAAGTGAATCTGGAGGCTCTGAAATGTTTGGACAAAAATATGTTACAGAAATTCTCTCCCTGCTTTATATACTGCAGGCACCCCAACACTTAATCATTACAACTAAAGCCATGGGTACCCCAGCTTATATTGAATACAGGTGCAGGTACAGAGCACTGAAGAATGTTTAAAAATGCAAAAACCACTGGTGCTGGGACAGGCTGACTTGTTAAAGACACACCCTGGTTTATCCGGGTTATCTGAGCTAAAGAAAATACACAGTTAGCTTTCAGGTCAGCTGTAGAAACTATAGAACAAAGTGTCCTTGAGGAACTTCTATAGTTTCCCCAGTAAACCATGAGCCCCGAAGCATCGATGTGCTGAGAACAGGGAGTGTATGCTGCGTGTATGCTTCTGATGCAAAGAGGCCTACATTACATGGGAAGTGGTGAAATCTCCAGCTGCTCCCAATTCTCTCTCTCTGGTCTTTCTTGGCAGAGGGTAGAGACCACATGCTAATGCATACAGCTTCTCATTTCTCTGTGTTCCTATCTAGTCAATGTCTCTGAAGTGTAAAATGTATGACATCTGCAGGAAATGAGAGCCATCCTCCTATAGACGATGAAGACAAAAGGGGACAGATAGGCTCTATAGGCAGGCAGAAGTTGAATGTTGGAGAATATCCAGATTCTCTTACAAGTTTGTCCTTTTTTTGCTAAATGGGTGACAGTGACAGATGGCCCTGTACAGATATAGAGTTGTGTAAGATATCTGGAGCAGGGAGGAGGAGGAAGGAAAAGTTCCAATACTACAGTAGGTAGGTCAAAAGGCCAAAACGTGCAAACAAACAGGCATTAAGCTTTTGGTTTTTTTCTTTTGTTTTTATTAAGCATTAAAATTACTGTAATTTACAGTCATCAACTCTCTTTAAAAAATAAGACATTAATGAGGAATCATGTTTTCCATTTTGAATAAGAGACAAAGCAAATATAGAGGGTAAAGATGTTATCCCTAAGCCGAAACCACATCTTAAGAGTTAGTCAGCATACTCCAACAGCATTCATATCCACAGACAAAACATGCACACAGATTTAAGCAGTGCTGGTCTGTTAAAAAAGTAATTTTATATTTCTTATAAAACCAAACAGTTTAATTCATACAATCATCACATGCCCATCTAACTTTGAATGACGCTATCACCACCATGTTTCAACTGGGATGCAGTGTTATGGTTATGTGCATGGTTGGTTTAACCCAAACAATGCTTCAAGTTAACTACAAACCATCTTCAATGTGTTTAATACAGCTGTAAAATTTCTGTTGGTTCAGTGGCCTACAACAACAACAATAATCAATCCTAATAGTTTAAAAGGCACCAGCAAATATGCACGCTTCATCTTTTTAAACAGGTCTGACGAGAAACTAATATGTACAAGAAAACAGCAAAAACAAATTGCAGTGAAATAAAGTAACAGCAGAGCAGAAAGATGCTCATTTATTTTAGCATGGACGGAAAAAGGAAAGACCTTCCAAAACAAAAACCAAAGGAAGGAATTTGAGATTTACTGTAGCATTTGTAGGAACCACAATGTTTCTGCAAAATTTTCTGACATATAAGGTATAAAAACCACATATTCTCTGATGGCTAAAGCCTTTTTCCCAATACAAACAGAAACCTAGCCAAAACATGCATATGATCTACACCTTAACAATAAAATCGACACAAGTCAAATGATTCATAAGGTTTAGTGACCCAAAGGTAATAAGTTAAACATCTGCCATGTTGATGGGTGGTTCACAAGTTTGATTTTTAGTAATGGATGAGCACACAAGTGATAACATTCATGCATCAATCAGGCAAATTGAGTGATGACAAGTAAGGTCCAGAGAGGAACCGAGGCCTGGCAATGTTCTAACCACTATAGAAGCTCCAGGTCCCTGAGCATGACTTTTATGTCTTTAACCCAGAAAGCTCCCCATGCACTACTCAGTCTGTTCCAGAAGGTTATGCGTTAAAACAGAGATGAATAATTTTACCCTATGGGAGAATAAGGTGAATTTACAATAATAAACAATATTAAATTAGATTTATAGGGTGCAAAGGTAAAACTTCAAATGTAAGGTCTTTGTCGCCCTCTAGTGGTTACATTGAAGCAGAAGTTTTCATCAGACGAGAAAACTGGGAAATGCACTCTTCGCATTTATAAAAGATGAAACAAAAGGATCTTATTTTGTTTTACTGATTATTCTTTATAGGCAAAATGAACTGATAAACAAAAATACAGGATTTTTATACTAGTAACAGGGATTTTATAAACTAAAGGTAATGTTATGACATTCCAATATTTAGTTAAAAATCAGAATAAACGGATAACCTGCCATTGTATTACCAGTTCATTTAACAATTTTCATTTATTTGCATATTTTATTAAGGACTTAATTGCAAGAAAAAAACAATGTCCAAAACTTTGAGTTCCAAAAAAGAAATCAGACATTTACAATACCATATTATTTTAATCAGTTTAGGTGATGAAAAGCCAAAAAAAAAAAAAATTGAAAAAAAAAAAGAAATTAAATGCAATAATGATAAAGTACATGTTTCTCTTATCTATAATTAAATATATCTGTAGCGTATACTATAACAATGCTTCAGAAAGGAATGAAATAACAAATCATTTTGATTTCATGTGGAAAATCATACCGTGCAAAATTATTAATCAGGAGTGATTAACACTAACACAGAAAAGGAAGACATTTTAATTTTTAGTTTCTTTCATTAACACATATTTTGTTTCATAGAGCCACGTCCACTAGATGGAGTTATAAATTCAGAGATATTTCAGCCTGTTTAAAAACAGACTTCTAAATTCTATCTAAATTGATGCTCCATGTGGGTGAACTTTAGAGTGTTGCAGTGTTGACAGCATAACCAATTCTTCCTGTCAAGTCAAACATTATAGCTTTGTCTGAATCATTCAAATAAGCACTCATATATACATACAGTATTGGGTTGGTTTCTTTAAAGATGAAAGGCACTCAGTTAGCAGATAACTATTGATTAGAAGATTCCTAAGAAAGGCACATTTTGTTCCTTTTCTTCATAAAAAATGAAAGAAGTAGCCATTGCATTTTTCAATTCTTATATATGTTCAAAGTCTGAAGTCAGCATGAAGAAGTCTGGAAAATTAAAGGAAATAATGACTTATTTTCCCCGAGTTTTTGAAGCTAAGTTCAGCTCAATATAAACCATGCATGTAAACCAGGTGAATGTATTAGTTTTCTTTGTGCCGGGCCACTCAATGGCTGAATTGGTTTCTGATAAAGTGAACTTCATTTTTATTCTCTGATTAGACTTCAGATCCAGACGTGAAAGTTGGGCGTCAGCAGGCTTTACTACATCTTCATTTTACTGGTGGTTTGTTGGGGTCTTGTGTGCCTAGTAAGGATCCATCTTGATCCTCCTGTGCAGGCAGCAGGTGAACACCATCCCACAGATCTGAAAACAGCAAGTGTTAAGTCAAATGTTCACCATGGGAGACTGCAGGCAGCCTGAAAGCTGTTGACTGGAGAGCAGAGAAGGGTTAAAAGGTGATGGAGTTTGAAGCTATTTGAAAGTCTGAAGCTGGTTGCTATGGTGATGGGAGGACAAAAGAAGACATTGCTGCAAAAACACCATGCTTGAACACGCAAAACCAAAATGAAGGTGGATGTATTGGGAAGGTGTGCATATTTATACACGAAAACATGCACATTGATTGATCCTCTTAGATTTAAGTAATTAAAAATATTTTTGATTAATCTACACAAAAAAAGTTTGGGACCATAACCAGTAAAATACTACAATCATTTCATAATACACAGATAAATGCAAGCACAAGAAGAAAAGCAAATACGCCAAAAAAGGAAATCCATCCAGCATTTGCCTGTATCCACCTTTCTTTGCAGGGTCACAAAGGTACTGGTGACTATTTCCAGTGGTAACTTTGGGAGAGGTGGGGAAGACCCTGAACAGCTGGTCAATTTGGGCAATGTAATATTGCTAAAAATGTAGCAGGCTATAAACACTTGTTTATATTGACACATTTTTCTCCCTTTTTAACCTATTTTAAACGAAGACCAGGTAAAAAGGCTAAATACAAAATGTAATCCTTTTTTAAGGTTAACCTCTAAAAAGAGGTCAGTCCTACCACCCACTTTGTTACCCTGGCAGTGAGAGGCTGACACCCTAAAACCTTCTTCTGACTACATCCCCCAGAATGCTCCGGGGTTCTGGACCAATGTTCAGTGAAAAAATAGATCTTGGTTCAAATTTCTTTGGATATGGATCAGTTATCTCTTATGATATTTAAAAAACACATAAAATAAAAAAAGATGCACACAAATAGGCGCTCGTGAAAAAAGAAATTGAAGCTTTTTAAAATACTTGACTTGTACTGACATTCAAGTCAAGCAGTGGCTATTAGTAGTACGTCATGTGACCTGCTCTGCTTGCTGTGCTTACATTGCTGTCAATTTGGGAGAAGCTGCATGGAGAGCATTTAAAACACTAATCAATAATTGTTGCCATCTTTAACAAAAGTTGTATAAAAAGAAAGCAAAAAACTTAGAGTTAAGTCTACACATGACTAACTGATACCATACTGAAATTACAAACCAATTTATTAATGAGTATTCTCAAAACAGAGAGAGAACATGAATAATTTAGCCTGGTACTTTAGCTAATCGTGTTGGATTAAAAAAAAGAAAAATCGCCTGCAGATAACCTGATCATCTTTGAATGTGGGAACAAAATTTTCAAAAACTAAAAGCAATGAACAACTCTCTTAACACCCATCTCAATTCTGCAATTTTCTCCTTGACAAAAGAATTAAGGTGATCCATTCTATGTGAGCATGAAACCTGGATTCGTACCTCTGATCGAACAACTAATGAAACAAATTAAAAAAAAATGTTTTGTGTGTAAATCCATTTATTGTCCCACAATAGGGAAATTTGTTTGCGGCATTTAACCCATCCCCTTGGGGAGCAGTGGGCTGTGTGGTGCCCGGGGAGCAGTGTGGGGTTAAGGGTCTTGCTTAGGAATCCAGAGTGGAGGCTGTGGGGATCGAACCAGGTACTTGCAACTTTCTCACAGCACAGCGCACTGCTCAAGCCACTAGGCCAACACTCCCCCAGAAAACATTACCAGTATAATAGTCATAAAGCACATGTTCAAAATGGGGTTCCTTTGCAAGTTGGTAGGATTGGCATGTTCTCTTTAGAGGTAGATCCAGGGTTCCATTTCTATTTTATCTTATTTACAATGATTTGGACACTGTAAAAAATAAATAAAAAGATCTTTCCTCTACATTACTGCATACTATCTAACTGTACTGTAAAAGTTTTCATAAACTTTAAAGAAAAAGAGGGACGAGTTGCTCAACTCCAAATCTCCTTAGAGCTGTGTCCATTCAGCAGCATAATGCTTTCATACAGAATTTAATTTTGTAAATTGGATTTAAATGTTCACATCAATTCTCTTATTGATAAGCAAATTCTCATTCGTCCCATTTTTTATCTTCCATGTGATGCTTTTTCATTTGTTTTTGTTTATAAATAAATAAATTCCTCAATTTAAATAAATCAAAAAATACTTTATGCTGAAAGCTATTTCGCATAGCTTTACATTTACAGACATCACAGGCACAAAAAGAGCCACAATGGTTCCAATTGACTACAGAAATGCACATGGGTCAGTTCTGATTAATTAAGCCATTCACCGGACATGCATCCACATTTTCAATAACGTTCCATAATTAAAACACACAAAAAAAGCCATGCAAATGTAGGCCCTAAACAGCAAGAGGAGAATTCAGTCCGTTTACATGCAGCTTTTATAATTGGCACTGAGCAGGCATGCAAATAAGGACTAACATGCGAGTCAGAAATCTACAGCACCTTCCATCCTTGTCTATCCATTTGATTAAAAGCACCAAAGAGCTCTGGAGCCAAATTACAATGCACCAAAGTCCTCCTCCTCCTCCTTATAGAGCAGATAGATAAAGCAGGCTGTCAAGAGTGCTCCGGCCAGCTACAGTGAAACCAAACATACAAAACAGACATTTGGAACGCACAAGAGTCAGAGTGATATTACATATACAGTTACTGGGTTAACATTCAACACAGAAATCATGTAAATAATGTCAGTATAAAATACGAAAAGTGAGTGTGATAAAAGATGATGCAAGGCTGTTGCAGCGCGAAAACAAAAGAAAATATGTGGAAAAGAAAGGCTTAAATGACAAGACAGCAGTTCCTTATTTTCAGCAAACCATCTGGATGTATTCCAGAAATTATAAAAAAAAATACTGCCATCATATGACACCTTTAAAGCTCAAAATCTTAATAGTTTTCCCCAAAGTATAGGAACCCTGAATGTAGATTTACAGTAAGAAAGGCCAAACACAAAATCATAAACTGTTATTGAGTAAACATAACTGTGCTGAGGTACAGCTGCACATAATTTAAAATGACTAATGGTGATGGTTTTGATTGTGGGCAAGTTGCACTTTCCCAATAGCTGTTTTTGCTTAGCTCTAATTATATGCAGTGGTACATTTATAGCCACAAAGATTGCAATGAGTTTGTTAACACACTGTCATTGTTACAATGAACAAAAACGTTTGTCTCTATTTGCCTTGTATAAGTATCCCTGTGCTAATTAACCTACAGTCTGCTTTAGTTTGTTGATTGTACTGATTTAAACAACTAAAACTTGTACCATGTTTTTTGCTTTTATTTTTGTTTAACTGTTGTGTATAACTGCATGCTTCTATTTCTTTTTGTTTACTGCACAGACATGTTGACTTTCCCACTGAGGGACATATCAATAATATCACGTGTTAATATAGGCATGGTGATCATAAACTAGTCCATAAGGTGAGGCAGTACTAAAAGGTCAACTAGCAGAAAGTGAAATAAATTGAGCTATTTGTTATTTGTTGTCTGACTAATAGAACACACAACACCTTTCATCTCATAACAATAAAGTAAACCATTACAGCAAGGAAACTACTTTTCTGAATTTTCTTTAGCATCTGCATCTCACCCAAAATATTTGTACAGAGCACTCATGGTAGAACGTAAGCATGTTGTATAAAGAGCCCATAATCCTACAAGCAAACAAGCTCAAATAATTTCTTTTCAATGGTTACTGATGTAACACCCATCTGCACATGTGCATGCTGTTGCATTTGGCTGTGTACCTATAACTAAGTGAATTGTCATTATGTTATGGCCGATTGGAGTGTATGCATCACAGTGCCTAAAAGCATGAGTCCATTTCAGAATGGAACAAACAAAAGGACTGTTATGATAAAGCAGGATTATTATTGGAAAATGGAAAAGCTCTAATATGGTAATGTTTTGACCTGCAAGGCTAGATTTTCCATTATGGAAAGACTAAAATCCTGTCCATCAGGATTTTCTAAGGTTCTATTTAACAGAGGGCAGAGGCTTTCCATTTTAAACAATAAAGCATATTTGATTAAAGTAGATTCTGTTTCACTGAAAGCAAAAATGTGATAAATGTATTTTACTTCTCTACATGCATTAACACACCGTCAGATTATCCTTACCTGAAGACAGGCCACTCCAATTCCAACAGCACCAATAACCAATAGATGGTCTGCAAGAAACTGCTCCAGCTTAAAGATGCATCCACCCTGAATAGAAAATGGAAAACTAGTTTAAAATACTATAGAATTCAGTGAACAGACAGGACTTTGTTTTCATTTCTGCAGATCTAAACTGCTGCAGCAAACAAAGAAAGGGGTTTTCAATTTTGTGTATTTAATATGTCATCAACTTGCTGTCACCATATCATTCGACACAAAAACAGTTGAAATGTGCAATTGGGGAAAAGAAAAACATAAAAGCCTTTTCCATTTGTACCTAGACATACATAGGATGGATGTTATTATAAACAAATGCATGTTGTGGCTATTCCAGACACAACAACCTACGGATCCAACACCACTTACACGTACTTCTCAACTATAGCTGTATATTATCTGTAAATCTTTTATCTGCTATTATTATATATACCGTATACAGTGGTGCCAAAAAGTATTTAGTCAGCCTCTGGTTGTGCAAGTTCTGCTACTTAGAATAATGAGAGAGGTCTGTAATTTTCATCATATATATAATTTGACTATGAGAGACAAAATCAGATTTTTAAAGGATTTATTTGTAGACTATGGTGGAAAATAAGTATTTGGTCACCACAAACCATCAAGATTTCTGGAACTCAAAGACCTGTAACTCCTTCTTTAAGAAGCTTTTCTGTCCCCCACTAGTTACCTGTATTAGTGGCACCTGTTTGAACCAGTTATCTGTATAAAGCCTCCAACAGTTACACTCCAAACTCAAGAACAAAGAGCTGTTGAAGGTCACCAGGAAGAAAATTGTAGACCTGCATCAGGCTGGGAAGAGTGAATCTACAATAGGCAAGCAGCTTGGTGTGAAAAAAAAAATCAACTGTGGGAGCAATTGTAAGAAAATGGAAGACATAAGACCACTGATAATCTCCCTCGATCTAGGGCTCCACGCAAGATCTCATCCTGTGGGGTCAAAATGATTGTGAGAACGGTGAGCAAAAATCCCAGAACTACACGGAGGGACCCGATGAATGACCTCCAGAGAGCTTGAAGTTTGCCAGAGAGCATATGGATGATCCAGAAGAGGATTGGGAGAATATCATGTGGTCAGATGAAACCAAAATGGATTTTTTTTGGTAAAAAAACAACTCATCGTGGTTGTGGGAAGAAGAATGCAGAGTTGCATCCCAAGAACACCACACCTACTGTGAAGCATGGGGGAGGAAATATCAACTGATCCGTGTTTAGAGAAGAAAGAATGGGGCCATATATTATTAGATTTTAAGCCAAAACCTGATTCCATCAGTGAGAGCCTTGAAGATGAAATGTGGCTGGATCTTCCAGCATGATAAAGATCCCAAACACACCACCCGGGCAATGAAGGAGTGGCTCCATAAAAAGCATTCCAAGGTCCTTGATTGGCCTCGCCAATCTCCAGACCCCAACCCCATAGAAAAATTGTGGAGGGAGTTGAAATTCCGTGTTGCCCAGCGACAGCACCGAAAGGTCACTGCTCTAGAGGAGATCTGCATGGAGGAATGGTCAAAAATACCAGCTACAGTGTGTGCAAAACTAGTAAAGACTTACAGGAAACGTTTGACCTCTGTCATTGCCAACAAACGTTATGTAACAAAGTATTGAGTTGAGCTTTAATTATTGACAAAATTCTTTTTTTCCACCATAATTTACAAATAAATTCTTATACAATGTGATGTCCTGGATTTTTTGCTCCTCATTTTGTCTTACATAGAAAATTACAGACCTCTCTCATTATTCTAAGTAGGAGAACTTGCACAATCAGTGCAGTGGCTGACTAACCTTTTGACCCCACAGTGTGTGTGTAATATATATATATCATCCATAGTCGAACTTTCCTGTATAATCTGTAGATTCCATATTTATTTATATTATGGCCTCTTATAATCACTCTGTTTGTATATACAATTTATAGTCCATACATACATAGCCCTTCTTGATGGATGCAAACTATATTTCGTTGCTTTGTACCTGTAACAGTGTAATGACAATTAATTTGAATTCTATTCTACGATTGGAAATTCTTAATGCTTTAGCCGCAGTTCACAATTCAAGCATTGTTAGATATGGAAGGAGGGAAATTAAGGGTTTGACGCATAATTCTGACATATCCCACCCAACAGATATACAGTTTATAATATTAAGAATCAAGGATAAATAGATAAGTTGAGCAATTACTAAAGAGAGAGTAATTTAATTTAGACAATTCAATGGAGATCAGAAATATTTCAGACATTAAACAGTGAAGACTGGAGGGAAAAAACTACTCTTGTTTTCACTTTCTTGAATGCAGTATGGAGAGGACCGGGGTGCATCTTTGCTCTTTTCGATAAAATCTCCTCACAATAACGGGGTTCTGCAACCAATGCACTGTTTATGCTCCACCTCCTTAGTGCTGATAACTGTCTTTCTAACAGTGTATGTTAACAAGTACAGTAGTATTGCTCTCCAGAATAAAAACTTTTATACACTCTAGTAAAGTGTATACTTTATGTTTTCCTTCAATGCCACAACTGTGTAGAAAGTGTTTTAAATAAAATAATTAAGTATCTGATTAAAGGCAGATGGAGTTTTATTGATAGAAGGACATGCAAACCGACTGATCTAGATTTCATTCCAAGACTGCACCTTTTCAAAGTTGCTCTACTGAGCTACTTGCATCTGACACATGTACTCATCGAAGAGACTCAGTAACTCTTAACATTCCTAAAGCATTCAAAGCCTTCAAATTAACCACATTTTGTCAAAAAAGGCTTGAATGTATATTATATTATAGGGATCTTTTGTGGGACAGCTTTTTAACTTAATACATCTTACCATTAAAAGTGTAAAGCTCCTCTTTCTGACTATGTTAAATCACCCATACAGCATGTTATTCTACAACAGGTACTTAATAGCAGTTCGAATGGAGCTTCCCACCTTCCTGTAGAAAATGGATTACTCACCTCCACTTTATAGATGTTGGAAGGGTGGTCCCTCCTGCCACAGTTGGGGGTAACGGTTTTGCAGCAGCTGTCAGGCACCACCCGGTTTCCTGATTGTTCTGACTTAATGTATGCGCTCAGCATCCAATCCTGGGAGTTGTTGCTTCCGCAGCACTTGAACTGGAGAGGCAGAGAAATAAAACAAGTGGTTGGCTGGTGTGTTTTTAACCTAAGGGCATTAAAACATGGAAAGTTGCTACACAATACATATTTACTTTTCTAAACTTAATATCATAATTTTCTAGGTTCATAAATCCGGCAGTTAATATCTAATATTCTGCTTCAATGAGATTACTGGTACACTCAATTTATTATAGGTTTTGGAAAAATGATTTATACTAACAAAGAATGAGTTTTACAAAGTTGAAAGTAAAAGTATGTGCTTTATAGCAAATCTATTTGATTGTTCTTTTTGAAAGAGGCAGCAGGCTTCAACATAAAATGAACAAGATTAGCTTTTCATTATTTCTCATACATCTTGTTGCAGTCTGTCGACTGCAGAAGTGATTGTCTCCTTCCCCTGCTGAGCATAATTCTCAGTCATAGTCTGGTTGAGGTGCTCCTTCAGTTCATCACTGAGCTAGAAACAGGGAAAAAATAAATAAATATGCAATTAGAACAGCAAAGGAGAAGCAATTGTTATATTAGTGACAAAAATATGTTAGCAGCGTTACACAGTACATTTCTGAAATTTGCCTTAGAGTTAAGAATAGAGAAAAGAAAAAATATTGAACTTAGAGATAGCAAGCACAAAGTTCTGTCTTAAAAAAAACAACAGATGGCTTGGATGCAGAACATGATCAAATGAATGGTATAGAATAAATTAAAAAAGCAGAATGTATATCATGCCGTTAAGATATGTAAATATAGGTGTGAATCTCATAAAAGACAAAAACAGCTAATTACATTTTATTGCTGTTCAAGCTGTTACTTTTAGCGTCACTTAAAACAATTAGCTTTTCTGAAGATTTCAATATGTAGTGCAACGTTTATTTTTGTTTTGCATTTTTTATTGACAGCTTACATCATGTGAACTTATTTGTGACAAAAATGTATACTGCTCAAAAATTGAATAAAGGCTAGAGCTCAACAATATCAAGCTGAGATAATCCCACTTCTGTGAAATCAACCTGTCTGGTTTAGAAATCGTGAAGTAATTTCATTTGGTTGATGTACAAATGAAACAGACAATAAGTGGAAATAAGAAGCTATTAGCAAGGCAGCCTCTGTAAAAAATTGGTTCTGACCACAGACCACTTAGTTTTCTTTCTTTCTATCCTTTCTGGCATATATTTTGGTCATTTTTGCATTTCCTTAGTGTTTTCACACCTAGATGTAGCACAAAAAGGTGTCTAAACACCATAGAGGTCCTTCAGGTAGTGCAAGCATCCTCCAAGATTGTACAGCAATGCAAGCTGTGGCAAAAGGGTTATCGACATCTGTCAACACAGTGTCCAGAGCTCTTCTCGAGGAAGAAGGAACAAGAGGAGTACTGCCAGAGTGTTGCAGAATGAGTTCCAGCAGGGCACTGTGTACATCATGTGCTTAAAGCCCAAGGCATCTGCCAGAGAACACCAAGATGGTCACTTCACAGATAACACCTGACAGAAATAAGAGTCTGTGACAACATGGAGAATGTTCTGCTGCCTGCCACATCTTCCAGTATGACCAGTTTGGTGTGTTGCCAGTAACTGTGTTATTCTTGAATTTTTTTTTTTTTTTTTGAAGGGCTGCCCTGCTTTCTATCAGGTACTGAGAGCCACAGACCCTTGCTTGATCATCTGCTGGTTCAGTTGTAGGGAGTTCACAGTAGCATGTGGAGGCCAAACACAACTAAACCTCATTGGTCCTCTGACATTACCAATCAAGTTAAATCAGGCTGCTCTGTGATTTAATTTTTTTTTTTTGAGTATGATACGAAATCCAGCCCTCCATCGTTCCAAATGCATTTCTCAACATATTTAAGAAAGATTCTCTATTATATTTTAAATATTAGGGTCCAAGTTTTTTTTAGCTGTATTTTGTTATCATCCAATTATTGTTAAAACCATGTGAGGAGGTTAGCTCCACATTCTCACTTCACTTAACAGTGAAATGTAGTGATGGCAGTATCATGTTGTAAGAATACTTTTCCTTAGCAAGCAGAGTAAAGTTATTCATTTTTAATCTCATCTTTTGAATGCCTTGTGCACAAAACATCCAGAGTCCTCTCAATGTAGCTTAAATTGGTAGAAAGTCTGTAATCTTAATAATCTAACTATTCATCAAAAAAAGCTTTTTACATGTTTTTGAAAAAAAAAAAAATATGTGTATAATTCTTCTACAGCTTACAAGACAAAAACAGCTTGAGTTTTTTTAAATCAAATTCTAAAAGCTAGTTTTGGATATTCAGTTCTCAGCAACTTGAGTTTCAACTGCAGATGCATTTCAATGTCACGCAGTAACCTGTGTATAAATTTAAAACCTGTGTGTAAATAAAATACAAGGTTTCATAGCTTACCCTCTGGTAGTAAACATAGGCCAGCACTCCAGCAACCAGTTCAATCAAGAAAATTAACAGCAGGAAGAAGAAATACTGCACAGTAGACAAAAAGACAAGAGGAGAAAGAATTAGAAATTGGATAAATTAGTAAGCATTGAGACATTTTAGCTTAGAAATCTTCCACACAGTTGTCACTTGAATTGTGCCTCAAGAGATTTAAAATGGTGACAGCTCAATATACATTTCCATCATCTGTCACTCTGTTGCATCTGTCACCTCTGCCACAGATGGCGATGCAACAGGAAGGCAATCAGAATGCAGTGTGAGAGCCTGTGTCATTTGGACATCTTTAAATTGGCCATGCATTAATTATAATGCAAATATAGAATCAAAGTGTTTGATGTTTTTTTTCCCCACGTCCAATTATTTAAATAACTGTCATTCGGGTTACCAAAGAAAAAAAATACTGCTTGAAATATCAAGTGAAAACTATTTATTTTGAAAAATCTGAGCCTAAAGAGCCAAAAACACACAACAAAAACAAAACAGTGGAGGAAAAAAAGATGCTGAGCAGATAACTGTCTATGTACACCTAATGAGCGAGATTTAAAAAAAAAAACATAACTTTTTTATTTGGCTCAAATAATATTAAGAAACTTATGCATTCATAAAATGCACCCATCAAACATACAGCATATGACACCAGCACACAGAACTAATTAGACCCATCTGTCAGAGCAGGACAAAAAACAGTGTGACCACAGTTCTAGTAATACTTCTCCAAAGCCCATAACGGAGACAGATGCTTTATCCCACATGCCCAGTGGCAAAGTAACACCAGACTACTGGTAATAAACATCTACAGGGAAGCGATGAGGGCTACAGAACACAGATATATAACTTAGCAACAGATGTTAATTTAAAAGAGGGAGAAATATTCAAATGATTTGGGGAAACCAAGCTATGACCTGCACATTCTATTAATAACATTCCTGCTAATATTGCAGGTCTGTTATCTTAATCATAATTCTACAAGCTAGTTACAGTAATGACTTTATAAATAGTATTAAAAGACAGTTTGTTGTTTTTTTCCTTTTACAGTATTGGGTGAGGAGTTAATCAATAAGCAGATGTTGAACTCTTCAAAGCTCTTGTTCTAGGTTCAACTCCTAGTCTGGGACCATTTATTGCAAATCTTGAGATTCTTGTTCTGTCCTTTATGTCCAGCTACTAATGAATAATTTCTAACGGAGCCACAAAACCTTTAATAAAAGAAGGTTTCCATTTTTGATTGGTGCATTTCTGTCAAACCTGAACAGATTACAAAGTGTTACTAAACATTACGGTGGAGGAGCAGTTGTTAACAGATTTTGACAGATTCTGAAACATTTGGCTCAATTACGAGTTCCTAGAAGAGCTACAACATGCAGTATTAGGAAATCAAATGGTGATGATGAGATCTTTTGTATTTAAAGCTTGTACCTACAACATATTTGTATCTAATCAAATGAGTAAATACTAGAATCCGCTTCAAGTTATCTTTCTTGCAAGTATAGCCACAGTGTATTTAGTTTGATTTTAGCAACAACTTCTGTTTTGGATGGACAACCGGTGTGATTTTTTTTCCGTTTACTTCATCACTCTGGTGATGACAGAAATAATAGTGATTACACAGGATATAATACTGGTTCTCAAATGATGGGGCTTATCAGTAGGGCTGTCCCAATCCAACATTGATCTATGAAATCAGTCTGACTTGTTATCCACAGTCTTCTAGTTTATTACATTTTATTTTATACAACTGAAGAATATTGATAGGTTTAAGCGTTATTTAACCAACTGGTAAAAAATAAAAAGATCAGTTGTTTTTCTCTGTATTATTATAGTTTTAGCTCTGTGTTAAGGATAAAGATTGAAAAAAGAAACTAAATTAGTAATACAAGTATGTAAGATTTAAATCTTATAGATAATTGGGTTAACATAGGCAGCTCCAGAGTAGGGCTTGGAGGAGCTATACTGTTTAAGATCTACAGTATGGGGCAACTTTTCTCAACCTGGGGGAGTTTTCCATGCTCTTCCTTCATGCAGTCCAGTTTCCTAAGCAGCATATTCAATTTCTTGGAGACGTGTTTTGACTATTTTCTGTTGTTTGTTAGACTTTGGCTTTGAGACAGCTCATGCTGAATTTTGTGATCTGTGACTTTGCGTTACTGGTCCAGTCTAATCTTATTTTGGTCTCATCGCCTTCTATATCTGCTGTTTTTTGTACATTTAGTAATATTCTGAGGACCAACAGGCCATGTGGGGACCAAAGACGGGACCCAATGTAGTGGACCCCACAATGTTAGGGAGTAAATTAGAAATTAATAGAAAGGCCCCACAAATATGGAGAGACATGTTTGTTTGAGTGTGTGTGTGTGTGAGTCTGCCTGCTGCAGAGAGCCTGCTGTGTGAGAGCAGAAAGATACTGTGGTCTTTTGGTGATAAATAACAGTTTTTACGCTGTCTTCTTGCATTTTAGTTGCTGGCACTACTTTTTAGTATGAGTGTTTGCATGTGTAGGTTTCGAACTGTGGGAGGACGTTGCTTCACTGAATATATATTCACTTTATATTTTGCATTTATTAGAGCCCCATTCCCTTATGGGTTTACCCTACCATAGTTGAACCATAAAAAAATACTCTGCAGCCACCACTGGGTTCAATATCCGTATCTGCAAATTTTCAAAGCTGCAATATCTGCATCATCTTTGAAATGAAAAAGTTTTAATTGGGGCATCCCCACTAGGCAGTATATAAATTAATGTTGGCTGAAATAGTGGGTTATACACTTCAGGAAAGACAACTTTGTGGATTAAATCAACAAGAAACAATAGCTCTTATAAGAACTTGGTTCACAATGGCACCTAAGGATCTTTGATGTTATTATAAGGCCAATCTCAGTTTAAGCCAATCCTCTTTCATGTGCATTAATACCAAACAATTACAAAAATAGATCTATTTAGTTTTCTTTACATTTGGCGTAATAAATAATACAAAAACATGTCCAACATTTGAAGGAGAATTTCAGTTAAAACAACCAGAAATGTAAAAAAAACAACTGTCTCCACTTAAAGTAAAAGAGGTATTTTAAGTGATGTAACAATAATCTTAGTTAGTCTTAAAAGTCTTAAAAACCAAAAAGCAATAAGAAAACAAAAACCTCAAACAGCATGTTGTTCAATAGGTGATAAACTGCATAAAAAAACGAAATGCTTTTCATGCAGTTTATCAGTGGATGCTGGGGAAATGTCTAGAGAGTAAACATAAACCTAAACCAACAACATGAACCAACTATAAGTTCTGCCAATTTGACTTCATGAACAATAAGATATTATTAAGATATTTACATAAGCAATATTTTTAAGTTTCACAAATAAAGAAAGGCAGGGAGGTAATTCTGTAATGGGAAAAACACTTTAAGATAACTGTAAACTGTGAATATTGGACTTGTGCATGAAGAAAATCTGAATTAATAGTGATGTGTTGCTCTTAAGTATCTCATTAACTGTGCCCTGCAAAAACAAAACCTGCTCCGTTTCTCCTGGTTACACGATAAAAAAAGAAAGAAAAAAAGGTTCTGTGTGAACAATAAAAAACCTGTAAATCCAAGTCTAATTCATTTCTTAATTATAACCTAAAAATAACACATGGAAGCTCTTGGTATTAAAGCATATTCCCAATCCTCTATGTTTGTATCACATAGCTCCTGCAGATACGTTGCTCTCTCATATTCTTTTCCTGAATCCATCAACAGTTGATAGGCAGACCTATAAATAGCCCTGCAGCAGAGAACATTCACCTCCCACCCGCTTCTGTCCCTGTAGTCCTTTTCCTTGTAAAATAATGAGGACAGTGAAGGCCTCGTAAGAGTCATTTGTCACCGTCTTGTGACAGACCTTTAAAACAAGGATGGCAGCGAAGAGATCCATGTCAAACTGCTGCACAGGTGTGATGGACCAAAGCAAATGTGGCAGAAAGCGGTATATGAGAGAGAATTAATCAGCATTGTAGATTTACAGAGTGATGTAGGACCATTCAACCGGATGGTGAGAGGTTTTGGTTGCATAAACCAATTAGTAATGCCCATCTTCCTCGCCATGAAGAAGTGGTAAAGTAGCTGAGTTAAAATACACTCACTGTGTGAATGACAGTCATAATTAGTTTTTTTTTTAAACTTAATTAGTTGTTTTTTTTTTTCAGAATATTCCCACAAAAAAATAGAATTTTTCAGTTAAACGAAGAACTCTATCCATTAATTGCTGAATAAAAGAACACACACTGTAGACATGGACATGGTTCTGGAAAGCTGTTTTTTTTCTCTTCAGAAATCATTCAGTTCATTAAAATTGCTTGTTTTTTCTGATGCATTCTGCTCCTACGATACAAATCACAGAGTTTCAGTGTGATTTAAAACAAGGTTATTCAAGAAGCGAAATCTTAGCCTAATTTATCCATTCTTTAAAACAGTTGGATCTGTGTTTAAATTAATTTCTCTAGTGATACACCCAAAGGTATCCTCCAGTTATCCAAACTTTACGGGCTTCCGGCGCAAGATATGACAAAAATATATAAAGAAATAGATGTAAAACCTCTTTAAAATAAATAGACCAAATGTAGAGCAGAATTTTTTTTAAATTGTATTTGAAAATATTATACCAGTTAGAAGCCACACACAATAACCAGCATTACGTAGCAACTAATGCACTCAAGGCTTAACCACCTATAAAATGAAGGCCATGATATAAACACAAATGCCCTGTAACTCATTTCTCACCGTAGAAAGACAGCTTCTCTGTTCCCGGATAACAGCGCAGCAGCCCAGGAAGCCAGTGACAACCACCAGGCTTCCAGCCAGGATCAGGATATAAGCTGAGATAGCAAAAGTGCTGGAGGCCAAAAGACTCAAGTAGTCGCTCTTCTCCACCACTGTCCACACTCCTACACCCAAGACTGCAGCTCCACCCACCTGCAGATGCAAAGAAAATGAAATGCGAGATTTATTTCAAACATGTTCTGCAAAAGGCTAGTACATAATTTTCATGTATTCCATGAAAAAAGATCTGCAAGATGTGAACAGCACTTTTAGCAGGAAAGAAAAATAGTTCACTCCATTAGATGAGTCAGATGGCAGTGCAGAAGTAAAACAGGCCATAAATTAGGGCAGAGGGGAAAAGGATGAAGGGAACCTTAGGAGAAACATGGGAAAGTCAGTGAAAAAAAAAACCCACAGGACCAATGAGAACACAAAGAGAAAGAGAAGGCCATAATGACTACTTCCTTCAAAACAATATGGAGCGGCTGACCTAAAGTGGCTCCTAGATCTGTTTTTCACATCTCTAAAGGTTCACAGATAGGAAACAGGCAAATAGGAAATGCCTCAGAACCTCTGGCCTTCAAACACCCTTCCCTTTCTGTCTCCAGTAAGACATTCTTATCCACAGCGAGATATGGCCAACTATAAACATTATCCTGGTAAAGGACACTATGAATACTAGATTCACATCTAGAAAGGAAGTATGCTGAATGTTTCAATGAAACACAAGGAAATATTGAATCTTCCAATAGCTAAAAAAAAGTCCTGAGCTTGTAAGTAAACAATGAGACTGAGATCCTTTGAGAGCTTCTCCTTATATCCTGTTTACTGAAGACATCGTGTCAGAGGTGGACCATCAAAATAAATACTCCTCCTAATTGACAATCATTCTGGTGATATGTTTACATAAGGCCGCCCTATGTGGCCATAACGGAAAAATTGCAAATCTTATTTTTGGAAAGTAAGGATTCAGAGTTTCTGGACATCAGTTTGCAAAGTCATGCAAAAAATTCTGTTTCAAATGTATATATTCTCATCTGTGTGTTTTCCTGCTGGGATGTGACTGTACAGGACAGTCCCGAAGCTTTTGAAGTCCCTAAGACGTTTCCTGGATTGCTCTAAATTACTGCAACAACAATAAATTTTCCCCTGCTGTATAAAAGCATTCCCACAGCATGACTCTGCTACCAAGGTGTCGCAATGGCTTTCTCCTACTCTTCCATTAAGTTCAGGTTTGCTAGTTGAGAATTGAATGGTACTGTGGAGTTGTTAGGCAACACACCAGAAAGGCAGGTTTATTATAATAATCTACTGCTAATAACATGCAATCCCTAAATACAACAACTCAATACAGCTTGACAGTATGTCTGTTTTTGCAGAATATAAAATGCTACTGATTTCATAGAGGCTGTTCTTGAGTTTTACAGGCAGTTCTGTAAAACCAGATGCAGCCTAAGGGAAAAGCAGAATAATTTGTACTTTTGTTTCCCTTGTTGAAAGCCACTCACCCAAAATAGAAAATTGAAGACAAAGAGTAGGTACTTGAGGCAAACAGTCAACCAGTCTTCCCCGTCATCCTTATAAGTCGCTGACATCGTCTTAGCTGTAGTTCAGCCTAGAAATTTTTTTTTGTGCAAAAAAAACAACAGAATAAAAAAAAGACAATGAAAGAAACCGGCCAATGCTGGTTCAGTTTGTGGTTCCATCTGCACAAATCTTGATTATATATATGCTGTGCTGATTTAGTAATTGTGATTTAGTAACACATTGGATTATTTACATTCATTGTAATCACTTATTAGGCTAATCAGACTGCTGCATCTATGCAGAAGAATTTGACCAAACTTTCAGGGACCATATCTTCTTTATGCAATGCATTAAATAAATAAATAACATGATCCATTGAATTATTAATACAGAAGAGTGTGTGGTCCTAATACTGTAAATAAAAGTTCAGGGAATAGAAAGCACTTGAATCAATAAAATTGATCTACAGTGTTTCCGTTAATCCACAGCCGCAAAGACAAAAAATAACTGAGGTTCAATAAGGCAGCCAAAATGTGAAAAAAAGGGACTGGATCAGCCAATAGTGCTTTTAAAAATTGCATTCACACAATTTTAAATGATCATTTACATTCTGCCATGTTACAACCCAAAACTACAATGCATTGGAGCTTTTATACAGGCAACTATGAAATAAAATAAGAAAAAAAAACTACAAAAGAAAAAAAAAAGCCAATGGTCTTCCACATGTGATGCACATGTACCAATGCATGCCAGCATCTTCTCACCCAAAGACAAGGAAAATATATATTTATGTAGGGGTGTGTGTGTTGCCTGTCTTGCCCTCAGAGTGAGGACCATTTTCCAATTTCACCATCAAATTAAGGACCAGCTGTTGCAAAGTGAGGACATTTTGATGGTCCTCACATGCTATTAAGCCAATGGTTAATTGGTTAGGGTTAGGGTGAGGTATACATTTGTAAAGGTTAGGTTTAGGGTTAGTTTTAGGCTTAGAGCATCCACCATGCACTGACGTCGTTAAGAGACGTTTATCTTCTAACCAAATGATCCATGGGAGCAACTTTTAGGATCATTCCTCCAAAGGACCAGTGGTTTGGATACATTTTGCCTACAAGTTGAAAAATAATGCAAGATGCATATATTTTGTTTTAGATTTTTAATGTGTCCTAAATACAAATGGGATTTAATTATTAAAGACGTTGTGTTTTAATTGGCTTTATGGGAAATATTCTATAAAATAAATGTGCTTGTCTAATAAAGAAGAAAAATTTTATCTAATCAGTTATACTGCTATTATAACCAAAATAATACTTTTTTCTAAGCAAACATAACTCTTTTAATACAAGGTCTCCCTAATTTCTCTCTGTTTAAGTCTGTTGTACTGAAACATTTTAATTAACTACTTGTTTATTTTTTCGCCGTAACTACCTGCATAAACATTAAGAAAATCTAAATGTTTTTACTGCGCAGGGAAAACACTTCCTATGATGTGGGATATGCGCAGTCGGGCATCCTGGAGAAAAAAAACACACCTGCGTTGATTATACGCAGGATAAAGTTTAAACAATATTACCAATATTAACGTAAAGCAAACGTTTTAATCTCACAACCGTCCAAATACTTACAGTTTTAGTGCTAGAAAAAGAGCTTCAAAGTTCTTGCTGTTCCCTTCGGAGCACAGAGGACGCCGCTGCAGAAGTGGGCGTTTTGTCCGCTCAGGCTTGTTGCTCCAGGGAGCTCCACTGTTTGCTATGGTGGTGCGTTCTAGTGCAGCTTGTAATTTTGATTACTATGCGGCTGACAGACGCAGCTGCGGATATAACGCATGTCCTATTGCTTGGACAGCATTCTTTTCTTAAAAATAGATTCAGTTTGTGTTTATGTTAAAAGTATATACGTGTTTTTAAAGTGTTTTTAATGATTGTGAAAACAGCCTTAGGAATTTTACAATAGTTGCTGTTGCAGCATGAACCTGGCTATAGAGTAAACAAACAGCTTATCTAAAGCATTTTCTGAAAAAAGAAAAAAAAATGTGACTGAGTAAATAGAGCAGAAGAGTAAAGAAGAGGATTAGGGTCCACTGAAAAAATAAAAAAGGTTAAGTGATTTTTAAATTTTATTTCAGTACCATATGAAAAAAAGAATTCTGAGATTAAAGTCAGACTTCTGAAAAAGAAATCAGAATTCTGAGAAAAAAGTCAGAGTTCTGAGAAAAAAAATCAGAATTCTGAGATTAAAGTCAGTATTATGAGAAAAGGTTAGAATTCTGAGATTAAAGTCAAAATTCAGACTTTTTCCCCCCATATTAAACTGAAATAAAACTTACAAATCAGTTATTTTTTTTTTTTTTTTTCAGTGGCACTAATCCTCTTCCATATAAGAGGCTAGATCAAAACTCAGGACCAAAAGTGTTCGATGACTGGTTGAAAAACTAAATAGTGACTGTAATTTTCCACAAAAATATCTAAATACATTGATTTAAAAAAATATATCTCTCAGCGGTTAAAGATGTCAAATTCCTTTTGAAAAAGTAATTTAATAATAAAAAGTTGAACCCATAAGTCATATTAGCTTTATTATCTGATCCCTTAGCAAAATAAGGGATGAGGATATGTGCATTTAAATATGTTGTTCAGTTATTGAATTTTATTTTAAACATATCTCAGCCAGATTCATTCATCCATTCATTAACTGATTCATTCAACTATGTGCATTATGTGCTTTGAAATATTTCATTTTTTTTTTTTTATACAATCAACCCTTATTAATTAAAGCTTTCATTATAGGTCCACAAATATATCCTAACATGCAAATGGAGTAACCGTCTACCATGAGCTGTAAATACCAATCAACTTTATATAGCAGTGTTAGCTCTGACCTCTGCCTTTGAATGCTGATATAATACTGGTGGATTAAAATAAATTAAATAAGTGTTCAACAATAGGACTGTGTAATAAATAAATAAAATATGAGTAAGTTGATGTTTATGAAGGTTTTGGAACATTCCACATTATGATTATACATACTCTTGTTTCCATTATTATTAAATAATCTCCTTCTTCTGGCTCTCCCATTCAAAGGTAGACACAGGGAAATCATCTCTCTTTTTAACCATATTGTCTTCTTCTTCTGGCACACCATCTATCTTCTTGTCATTTGCAGCTCATTCCACATATCTCCTTTTTGGTTTTCTAGATCTTTTGCCTGGCAGTTCTAGCTTTAATATCCTGATGTACTTACAATCCCTCCTCTGTACATGCCCAAATCATCTCAGTCACTCGAATATCCTTGGATTTGTTCCTTCACCTCTTTTCCAGGCTTTTCTTTGCTCTGGAATGTTGATCATAAGTACTTTAAATCCATCTTCTTTATCTCGGTTTCATTATTGTCAAATTATATAGGCAGATATTTTATTTATGTATCTATTTATTTAATGTACATATTTTTTAACATGTTTAATTATCATGTTAGTATAACCACCTGTTTATGCCATTTTATCCAATGATTTATTTGCTATTAATAGTTTGATATTCTAATTTTTAAAACTGCCTTATACACAGATAGACAAGAGTATCTTTTATATATATATATATATATATATATATATATATATATATATATATATATATATATATATATATATATATATGTACACTTCTTTTTAACTTTTATTATTACGGTAGTCAAATGATTTAGCCCTCAAAGAAATGTCACCGGAACACAGCAAGACTGTCAGTACTGCGAAAATGTATTTGTCCATTAAGAAAACAGAGGTGCTATATAAAGTAATAGTTTTTAGACATAAAAATAAAATGCTTCTATGCCAACTTCCGTATGATCAGAGATTATCTTTAATAAAATTATCATCATTAGAACCAGACTTCCTCCTCTTCCAAAACAGACCCCTTGGTAAATATGTTTTGCCTCATCTTCCACAAGAGTAATTTAATATGTAAACTATTAGGAGTAAATAATGGCCGAAGGCATTTATGGTACCTTGGATGGCGACAATCAGTCTACCAAAACAACATTAGTTAGTAGGATTTGCAATCCATCAAGCTTAGATATTATGTCACTCAATACGCCACATTCAGTAGGAAAACATAAAGAGTATGGAGGTTCATTGCTAGGAATTTGGAGTATGTTGTATTTTAGTCTCTATTATAACCCAATGCTGTGGAGGTAGTTTCCACAGAAGTCAGCTCCTTTTTATGAGCAGTGTATTTCTGCAGGAGTTCATTAATCACCTCTGGTGGTTTTGTGAATCACTGATATTCTAGTTCTTCTCCTAAGGGCAGGTGAGTAACAGAGAAGATATGACAAGGAACGCATGTAAAGCAGAGACTGAAAGAAAAAAGTCAACATGATTTTTTTTTTAATTCTGCTTGACAGATAAACGCTCATGCACATATATATGTTAATATAAAACTGAAACTAAAAGGCACAAAATATGAACCTATGGGATCTTTTTACTCTACAAACCGCAGAGGCCGCTGCTGTTAGATACTTTTGTTTCATCCTGAAGGAGTTTTGTTTTTCTTTTTTTAAACGTCCACTTTACTAAATGTTTTGCATTGGCTGACCTCTTGTGGTCACTATCTACTGGAGTTAACAACATATCAAACTGACCTATAAAACAAAATATTCTTATTTGCAAAAGATGATCATAGCAATTTTTTATGAGGCACAATCCCGAAGACAAAAACATTGGGAGGAAACTTAGACCATTAATATTATAAATGCATCCCATTTACTTTTAATTGATAGAAGATAAAGAACTGGTCCTAAATCAGAACAAGGCAACTCCCCAGAGGTTGTTGAAAGTAAATTAGGAAAACTATCACTGTGAAAGCTCAAGGCAATACTTCCCATCTCAAAGCTTAGTGATACATACTAAGTACTAAGGAAACTTTGGAGCTAAAAGCAATCTGTGTATGGGAATTTACTGTCAGCAGATGGAAGAGGGAAATGTGGCACAGCACCAGACAATTTCTCATATCAAGAAATAGGAGACAGGACTGGCTAGTTTCATGTTTTCCATCAAAACTGATAATGATCCCATGGTGAGATGGATTTCTAAGTGCTTTACAAGGGAAGTTTGAGCAACTTTTATTATCCACAGTGGATGAATCAGTTGTTATGATATCCAACCATCTTCTTAAACCTCTTTAAACAATATCGTTTTATGTGAACATCTGTTGAGTTGTTCCTATAAAATGTGTTGCCAACACGTGTGCTCTAAATCTTAACATGTATTCTGAATACAAGATTTCCTGTGTTTGTCATCTAAGAGAGAAAGTCAAAAACATTTTTAAAGTTCACAAAACTTATCAGATTTCTATTTACATCTGCTAATATGAAAATAGCGAAATCAGAATCGAGGCCCTTCCCAAGAAAACAAAGCAAACTTTCTCCCTTTACATAAAAAAACAACAAAAAACGGAAAGGTTATATTGCATAAATGGATAGAATAGTTGTATTAATTCTGCATGCGCCTGGTTGGTTTTATTTTATATTGTTTTTATTATTTTTTAATGAACAGATTTTTCTTTTTAGTACATAAAAAAAAAGGATTTTCTTTGTTTTTATTGATAGTTTGGGAAGCTTATGATAGAATTCACTAATTTCAAGAGAATCTTTGTTAAAACGAAAGACTGAGAGCACAAAATCACACTAAATCTCCAGGATTGTTTTTGTTTGCTTTATAAACATGCTGATAGAAAAATTTGGACAAATAAAAACAAAGATACTTTACCAAGCATTGAATCAAACTTTGTTCATGGCCTCATTCTGTGCCATTGACCCTGTGAGAATATGACTCCGACTTAGATGAATCGCTTTAACTCCATTTTAGGGTATTTACTTGTAAATCTAAACCAACTGTAGATAAGTCAAATTAGTTCAACTAAATTCAGTTGGAGCTACATTCTCTTCTTAGACTGTAGAAAACAGGTGAAGTGAGTGGAAGTGCACATTACAGGTTTGCAGAACCACTGAGAAAATGCAAAGAGGAATTATAATAGAGCCATTGACTTGTATTCTTTAAACACTTGTAATGTTAAAAAAGACAGAGTTGTCTTTTTTTTTTTTTTAAGGCATTAAAAAAATAGTTTTGGGTTTTCTCCAGGATTAATATAAGTATTCAAATTTTAAAGATATACATTTTCAAAAAGAATTCAATGATCATTTGTTGGGTGACAATATCCTGGACAATTGGCTTTTCTGTACTTGTGAATTACATTTACTAAAAACTATTATATCAGTGTCCAATTCAACATGTTGTATTGTGCATGAGTGAACTCAGCGTACTTGCAGTTTTTTTTTTTCAAGGCTTAAAATAAATTTCATCAAATTATATCCACATAGCTTTTGTCATGTTAACAGCTTTATTAAGCGTGCAAATCAGTCAATAGTAGCGCGCCTACTGCTTTAACTCCTGTGAGTGCCTGCCTCCACACTGATTAGTGTGTGAACTGTGAGTGTGAGTGTAATGCGTGGGCTGATGTTCTTAAGCTTTGCTGGTAATGAGGCTCACCCGTAACTATGACTAGAGCCTGGTGTATTACATTTGGTTTATTGTCCAAAATCTCAACATGATTCCATTTTTCTAATGTAAGTTTGCAGGACCCTTGGATAGTGAATAAAAGGTGTGCAATAAAAACATGGGTATGAAAACATGTTGCAAAACAGAACATGTTTTTTTTTTTTTTAGTTTTTATGAGGTAAAATAAAAACCCATCGATAAATCATTTAAGAATTGCTTCCACATGCAGCGTAATAAACATCATGAACCATTTAACTAAATCAAACATGAATAAAACAGCTGACATAACCCTTCGTGCAAAACCCTTCACCTAAAATTTCCCCAAACGCACTTTGATTGAGTTTCAACATTCTGTCTTAGATAGTGGTCTATCAGCATATTTTTCAACTAATATAATCAATCCAAGACTTATTTTTTTACATCACAAGTACCTGAGAGGGTTTTAGAGATGCATTTAGTTTTGAAAGCCTCCGAACTTTTAATACAGCCTGTAGGATTTGAAGAATGTGGCATTAAGCTATAAGAATTAAATGATATTACATGCTTTCAAAAGATCTGACTGATGGGATGGGAAAATCAAATAAAAGTGCCTCACTGACCCTTATGTTTCAACAACACATTTCTGTTTATGATTTCTTGGAGTGCCAGACATGTGTAATGAAGTAGAAAATTGAATTAGAATGATTCAGTCAGTCGAACATGAGGTCGATGTAAACTGTAAGAAAATGTGCTCTCCGGTGCTGTGATGGGACGGATGTGCGACCTAAAACAGCATTGCGCTGAGGCAGCAAAGTCCAAAAACTAAAGAAAACAAACGATAGTAGCAAAAATCTTTTGAATATTAGCAGAACCAGTAAGTATATTGACAGCACCACAACATGCTTTTATTGTGAAGTGATTATTTTGATGTTCTGTGGATGGAAGTTGGAATGATTTAGTGGACAGCTATAAAATGATTCATATTGAGAACACAGCATTTTTCTATTTTTTATATCAGCATATTTTCATATTCTGAATAGTATATACTCTGTAGGTGAATGCTGACATTACCAGAACTGCTTCTTTTTAACACTAAATACAGTCACTTGTTTTAGTTTGTCCACAGGCATCAGTACTTTTTCTCTTACTCTGCCTACTCAAAATGGAAGCGATACAAACTTGTTACATGCAGTAAATAGTATTTTAGACCCCTCCTACAGATTTCTAAGTTTTCTATTTCTGTTTCAGATCAACACATTTTGATATCAAAGGTAATCTTCATATATAACACAGGGAATTCTAAATTGGGAATCTTAAAAGAAAACAACTATTAACATCAACCTGTTCCTTTGTTCTATGTAGGTGTCCCTGGAACTTGTGCCACTCTTGGTAGCAACACTGCCACCGGGGTTTATATTAACTGGAATTGAGTCTTGTAACATCACTGGGGAGAAATATTGGCTCTTTTTCTTAACTATTTAAAAATGGAGTTATATCCGAGGGTTTGGGGCAAGGGTCAACTGGCAAGGGGAGCTTAATTTTGTTGCATTTTGTTTAGAAACAAGATCATTCAAAGTGCAGTACTTGAACTCTAAACCCCACAATATAGGAAAATAGACAAAGAGAAGCACATTGCAGTGACATAGTACAGTATCTTGGTCATTATACAGCTTCTCACTCATATTTATGCCTGAATTTTGATTAGGCAACTCAATTTTTTTGTGTGTGTATTAATTGTATTCGTATATTTATCTTTTTTTTTAAAATCATCAACAGAAAAAAGTAGAAGGAAATAAATGAGAGATGATAATAATTCCACCAAAGATCAAAATTCATGGGGATACGAAGTTAGATCCGGACTTTTGGCACAAAGTGATGTTTAATTTACACAGAATTCTGAATCCCAAGAACCATTTCAAACAGAGAGATCTACATCTTTCTCCCACATCATATCAGAGAGGGCTGAATATGATCCACATAGTGTATTTTCAGTAACGGTGGGTAGGTCTTTGCTTGATGGTTGTATGCCAAGAAACTCATCAACCTTGTTGAAAACCTGGGCTTGTGGAAAGTGGGTGAGATGGAACTGAAATAATAAACAAGGCAGAAGAAAGGACATAAGTGATTAGATAACATGGAGCTATAAACTGTCTTCTGTCTCCAGCCCACACCTACAGAGAGCGTTGAATCACATGATTCAGTGTTGGATTAACTACAGATTTATGGACAGATAAATGAAAAGAGTAACCAGTTTAAAAGAAGAAAGACATTTCCAACTATTTTGTCAGGTAGATAGCAGGACCCTCTCTGGACCATGACGAGGAGATACTAGCCAGTACTGCCCTCCTTAAAACCTTTAGACTTTGCCTCAAAAATATAAAATTTGAATGCTTATTTTTATCCTCTGGCACAATATTTCATTTTCATATTTGCTATAAATATGTAAAATAAGCAGCCACCTACCTTCCACATCTTCATACACGCTGATGTTAATGTCTTTGCATGAATTCTCGTTGTTCACACTGCCGGCCAAAACTTAGTCTTAAGTTACAAGAAAGCAGAGAGGTTTGTGTTTTCAGTGGGCCAAGACAGATTAACAGATGTCATATAAAATTGCATTTCTTGGGGTACATTGGGGAAGGCCTTGGTGCTAGATGTTAAACTAACCCAAACTGTTTCCACAAACAAAGCACTTAATACAAATGTATGTTTTTACGGTGAGGATCCAGGGATGGTGGCTCAATTTTAGGCTCTTGCTTTAGATGCACTTGAGCTGTAAAAAATAGAAGAATTCAGACCCCACTTATAGTTATGCTTACTTGACACTTGACTCCTGTTCTCATGAAAAGAAAAGAAAAGCTAGTAGGTAAGCTATAGACTACACCTGCTGCATGTTTTTAATTATGAAGTAATTTTCTGGATAATTACCCACGTAAATGTATGGGTTACTAGATACATGTTTCATAATAATCTGTTCATATTAACTGTTGCTTCAAACTATCAATTGAATTGATATATTATATCACATCACCAGCAACATCAAAAGGACACTGAAAATACCAGCTAAAAATACCAAAATAAAAGCAACATATTTTTCCTTCACAAATGTTTATAACATTTTAATGTATACTTTAAGTTTGAACATCTCTACTATTTAAAATAGAAAAAAAAACACTTTCCAAACATTGCTATATACACTTTTTTAAAATATTAATGTAGATTTATATAATGAAAAATGTAGATTCTCGACCAAAGATTTTTTAATTTTACCCCTTTAATTTTGATCACACATTTTAAGGTCAGTCCTCATTAAATCCAGCTACTCAGCTCAACCCCCCCTTGTTGTCATTAATACCAGTACAATCAGAGCCTAATTAGCAGTTTCTTTTATTTTAATCATTTATGTTTTATAAAATACTGCTGTGAAAATCTGTAATCCGTAGCACTTGTGTTTTGTTTTCAGTTTTGCTTTTTTCTTGTTTTGGGGTGTGTGAATAAAACCACACCATGGTAAGAAACTTTAACTCATCAAGAAAAAAGAAAAAAAGAAAAAAAAAAGAACAGTTCAAAATCACACCAACTGCTTTCCTAGTGTGCGTAGGAAGTCTGGCATCATTTGTTCTGGCATCCCTCTCTTGTCATATCACACTTCAAAACGGATTGAAGTTCCCCAAAAGGATTACGTCGAACTAAAACAGAACTTCACTGTGGAGAAAAAAAAAAAAAAGATGGAAAAAGCTGTTTTTTTTTTTTTTGTTTTGTTTTTTTTACTATTGAAGCAGTTTTCTTCAAAGTGCCTTTAACATTTCAACGCGCTGAGGACATTTAGAGACGGGTTGTTTCTGGGACGCTGCTGGATTTTAGGTCATGGGGTGACACTTTCTACATCTTATCCTCCAGCTTACAAAACCTCTGAAAGGAGCGATGATGATGAGGATGATGACGATGATGATGATGTCTCTCCCGCTCTCATCAAACCTACAACCTTCCAGCCGCAACACGCTGTCTCCAGCCAATAGACACAGAGTCCTCCCACACTGAGTCCTCCCTCTAAAACAACCTGTTTTCACATTCACACTATGGATAAAAGAACATTTCACCTTGCGTAAAATCGTCGCATAACTTTATAACTTTTATACAGATAAGAATACATGGTCTAAAAGGCTGTTGTCATGACTTTATTAATCAAATCCTTATTATTTATATGTTGCGAGGCTTTTTTCTCTTTTTGACCCGTATTTGCAACGATTCCAGGCACTTAAAAGAGTTTGAGCCTAAATCTCGCCGGCTCTCATGGGACTCAGGCATTCGTCGCGGTGTTTGCTGCTACGGCGGAAGATGGCGGAGGCGGACAGCTCCGAGGTAGGGGACCTTGTGATGTCCTGTGGCCGGTTTTTCACAAATTACTTCATATATTTTTCATACTAACTACGTATATCAGTTCAGGATGACTCATATTGTTCCGGTATTTTTAAGAACAGCGTTGTAGCAGTGATCTGCGAAGAACTTGAAATTCCTCTTAGTGTCCTGCAGATGTTAGCTGAGTCTGCAAGTATGGATATGAGCTGTAGTGCGAGGTAGTGACAGCGAGTGGATGCTTTGCGTTTTAGCGATGTTTTAGATGCAGAAATATCCTTAACCTGGATGTGTCCGCTGTCCTTGGTGCTGAAACGGAACCTGCCTCTTCTACCGGCTTACTTAGTGTGCAGAATCAGATCACAACCTCTGCATTTAGCCATTTCATGCATGACTTAATTGCAGAGAAAAGTATTTTCATTTAGTATTATAAAAGTACATTTTCAATGCGTTTTTTTTATCTGCACAACATCATCTACATTTAAAATATCGTGACAAATACACACCATGACATTTATGTTATATGTTACATGAATGTGGGCTCATATTTCCCCATCCATGTTATTCCTATACTGTTTAAGGCAATAAATGAAACAATGTAGTTTTTGTGTGTTGTTTCATGTATCTCTCTAAGCTGCCCTCCAACCCACCCACATAAATATACACTTTACCACCAAAGGTTACCTGTAAAAAAAGAAAAAGAAACATTTTGCATATAGCTCTAAATAAAATTGATAATATTCACCATGAACTCACTCATAGGCACACTTAGTGAAAACAATCTACTGATACAACTAAGGAACATTGTTAGTTCTTTTGCCCTTGAGCTCTATTAAGTGGAAAACCAAAGCTTCCATAATATCTCCCACTACTACACCCCCCTTGGCCACTGCCAGTACTTCTACCAATTCTTAATTCTCTGACAACCTTTTGTTTGTCTTTTGAAATGTGCCAGAAATGTTTATTTTAACATAATGCTATGTGGATTCTTATCCCATGTAATGTACTTAAGTCTTATGAAATGTAACAGACTGCACCAGAAAAAATAAAATAAATTGAAAATGTCCATAAAAATAGCCCTTGAGTATTCTTTTATTTAGTTTTTGCTTTGTGTTTTTTCACATTTTTCCCTCTTATGTGCAATGCATGAGATAACCATGAATCAATTTTTGTTGTTTAATATCTAAATGAAGCTATGAACCCATACAGATGGAGGAAAACTATTTCAAAATCGTTCTTCACACTAAATCATTGCAATACATTAAATAGCTAGAGTACAAGGTGGAATTAGTTTACTTTAAAGCCTTTATATATATATATATATATATATATATATATATATAGTTACAAGAAATCTCAGCTCACTCTTCCATGTAATCCTGCAGCTGTCCCTTTGTTCTGTCTAAACCTAATCAACACTATTTTATTCCATGTCTTCTTCCATAGCGGCAACAGCCCGTCAGGTCCCCTCTTTCTCAATCTGCACAGCCCTCCTCTTTGCCGAAACCAGTGCCTACTACCCATCATGTGCCCTGTATTCCTCACACGCCTCATGTAGCAGCACTCACCACCTGTCCTGGACGAGGCAAGATTGCCAAGTTCGTAAGCCCAGAGGAAATGACATCAAGGGACTACTACTTTGACTCTTATGCACACTTTGGCATCCATGAGGTAGGCAGACCAGGCTGACAGCCGGAAGCACGGTGTGATTAGAGTAGAAGAATGACAGCAGATGCTTCCTGTTGAATTCTGCCAAAGAGTTTCAACCCTTAGAATCTGACTCTCAAACAGCGTGATACGTCAAAATCCCCATGTGATTTAACGGTATGATGCCCAAGAACAAACAAGCTTTGATCCATGTATTTTGCACTGCCTTGCAAAAAGACTTCATATCTCTCTCCACATTTGTCACTTTACAAACCCCCTTAAATTCAGGGCTTTTCGTTGGGACCAGCACATTAATAACACAGGAAGGAAAATAATCAATATTTAGGAAAAATTATTCAGATATAAAATTTTTGCACATGATCCTGGAAGAATTGTTTTTTAGTTGGAAACAAGGTGGTGGAATCATCATACAATGAATGCATTTGTAAGGCTGTGCATAGATATTCTTCCTCTAGAAAAGGTCCTTTTCCATATTGTTCTTTAAAAGAGCACATAAAACCACTTGATTAAGTTTAAACCTGGAGGTGGCAGTAATAAAACGGCATTACAAGGTCAAAACTAAATGAATATTTTAATGCTTTGTCTAAGCATAAAATGAAACATCTACAGCAGGATGCACCCAAAGATTGAATAAATTTCATGATATATTTTATTGCATTTTAAATACCACAAAAAACTACAACATGTTTCTCTCTACAAACTATTGAGATCTACAGTTTGTCTTAGCACAAACACATAGAAGGGAATGCTGCTAAACTATTTGTCTTCACAGAGCATTTTTCAGTGAAAAACTGAGTTTTTCATCACCAGCTAGCCTGAAATACCCCAGGAGGCTGTGTAATAGTCCATAATCAGCATTCTATAAGTAAAAACAACATCTTGCATCCTGCAGTGAACTATAGGTAAAGTAGCCTAACCAATGACCTTGATATGTGAAGAAAAATATGGTGAAAAAGTTTGGGGACGTATAGACCCTGTTTTTTTTTAAGTTTTTTTTTTTTTAATAGAGTCCTTATTTAGCATGTGGGTCAGCTTTTTGTCTGCTTGCAGACAAAGCGTGTGTCCTGATTAAAGAGTTCAAAGCAAGAGAGGAAAGAAAGTGGGATCTGTGAATGAGCTTAGGGAGATGGATATCAGGAAGTCCCCAAAGGCTTTGTGTTGTACTCCTGTCTTTTTTAAGAAGCTGCGACTGTCACCAAGGCTTATGGCCTGGATTCTATCTTGTCCATCTTAATACACAGTGTGTATATTTTTGTGTCAAGATATTCTTGAAGGAGTAATGAATACGTTGTATGGGTCACAGATGCTATTTTTATCCCCAACTCAGGAGATGCTAAAAGATGAGGTGCGGACGCTGACCTACCGCAACGCCATGTACCACAACAAGCATGTGTTCAAGGATAAAGTCGTCCTTGATGTTGGCAGCGGCACAGGGATCCTCTCTATGTTCGCTGCCAATGCCGGTGCCAAACACGTGTACGGGGTGAGGCGAATAAATGCACTTACATTCTGCAAACAGATGCTGCAGTCCAACCCTTACTGATTATTTATTGTTAAATTCCAGTAACAAGACACATAGCAAAAAATATTTTTGGCCACGTTTCAAAGACAAGTCATCTACATTATAACAAGAATTATGTATATTTATTTATTTTTAAAAAAGCATCATGAAAACGAATGATGAGATTTATTCAATTACATTAAGCTTGTTATGAAAAAATACAACTTCGACAGGAAACTGATGACTCACATTTAGCATCTTGTAAAAAAAAGTTTCAGACCTCTATTTTACATTTTACAGCTTACAAACAAAGTTGCTAAATATTTTTTCGAGATTTTATGTGACAGGGCAACAAAATGTAGGATCTAATAGTTAAGAATGGAAAAAATATTTTACTACTGTAAATCTGAAAAGTGTGGCATGCATTTTGGAGGCTCTTGATATACTCATAGAATGCCAAGTTCAACAGACTGCCTTAAACTGTACCATATGCCATGCAGGGCTCTGTGTAATTTTCTGTTGGTTCTCAGTTTCCTTTAAATAACCTCTCATAAATTTAAAAACAATTAGGCAATATTTAAGAAAAGGTAAACTCTGATTTGCTTTGGTTGTAATGAATTTCATTTTTGGGTTATCAAGAGTAAAGGGGGATGAACAGAGATGTTCCTCACATTTGTATTTTTATTTGTTGAGGACACCATCTCGGTGCTTTTAAAACTTCACAATTTTGTCTAGTTTTGTGGATGTCATGTTAAATCTAAATAGGAAACATTAAAATTAAAGTTGTACCCTACTGTAACAAATTGTGTATGGGTGACCATATTACAGGGGATGTATTTGTTAAATCTACATATTTTGAAAACAGAATACAAGCATAGGGAGAAAATAAGCATAACATTTAAGCACAATTACAAAGGAGTTTGCATTGCTATGAAGGCATTTTTTTCTTTTTTTGTGGCCTTTTTCTAGTGAGGCTCTGATTAGATGACCACATATGTTTATTATGAAGGGACTTTTGACAGAGAAACACTACAGGCTTGATTTATAGATTTTATTATACTGTAGCACACTTAATGATGGTAAAGTCTTGTAACGGAAGGAAGATCAGTTTTTAGATGGATTAGAAGAGTTTAATTACATTTAGTCTTTAAGTATTACCCTAAGGGGTATATGTAAGTATCACTGTATTCCACTAGCATTAAGAAATGTATCCCCACCTGGTCTCACTAGGTGGATATTTTCCAAGTAAGAAGCAAAAACCATTTATATGATGGTAAAAGATGAGAAGACATTAGAAGCACTGCTCATTTTAGCTGCATCTATGGGGCCATTTCTAAAGCCTTTATACATCTTTTTTTTTTTTTTTTTGACAAAATAGAATAGTGTATGGTTGAACAGGTTCCCTAAATGGAATACAATGCAATCCTCTTCCTTAAGAAATTATTTGATGTCCTTATTCATTACCTGTGTGTTACACTGGAAAAATGATCTAGAAATACGTAAAAATGTGTTAAATTAAGGGTATTTACCCTTAATTTGGGTCTGTAAATGGGTATTTAAGGGTAATTAAGGGTATTTACCCTTAATTTGGGTCTGTAAATGAGACTTAATGTTTCAAAATGGTAGTGGCAGCATCAGGATGGAGCTACAGAGCAATAGTGAAAGAGAAAATCTGTAAAGAAATCTGCAACTGAGATAGTTGCAACTGTTACTGCAGCGAGGTGTGGATCTTAAATTCAAGCAGGTCACTTCAGATTTCTGTTTACAATATGTTAAAATTAGGCATATAGAATTCAGTACAATTACAATTCAAAGTGCTTTATGTGAATTAAATTATAAATTAGAAGAAACATAAAAGCAGAATAAAAGCAAAAAAAGATTTTAAAAAATAATAAAAACAGGTAGTAAAATAAATAAAGTGATGGGACCACAACCTTAAATTAATTATACCCCAGTTAACAGTTTAAGTTCAACAGTCAAAGGCAGCTCTAAACAAATGGGCTTATAGCTTTGGCTTAAAAGAACTAAGGCTTTCAGCACTTTTACAGTCTTCTGGGAGTTTATTCCAGATAAGTGGAGCATAGGAACTAAATGCTGCTTCTCCATGTTCGGCTCTAGTTCTGGGTGTGCATATTAGGCTGGAACTGGAAGACCTGATTGGTCTGGAAGGTTGATACACTGACAACAAATCTGTTAAGTACCATTCAGTGATTTATTGACTAACAGAAGGATTTGATAGCATATTCTCTGAGTTACAGGGAGCCAGTGGAAGAACCTCAGAACCAGGCTGATGTGCTCTACTTTCTTAGGACTAGTGAGAACACAGGCAGCAGCATTTTGGATCAGCTGCAGCTGTCTGATTGACTTTTTAGGCAAACCTGTGAAGACACTGTTGCAGTAATCAATTCTACTAAAGATACATTTTTTAAAATCCTGCTTGGACATTAGTCCTTTAATCTGGAAATTCTTCAGGTGATAAAAGGCAGACATAGTAACTGCCTTTATGCGCCTTTAAATGTTAAGCTTTGAGATTAAGTGAAATTAACTCTCTTTTCTCTTTGTGTTCAATATAGTTTGCACATTTGTTGTTGTAATGTTACAAAATGTGATCAAGCTGAAGGGGTTTGGATGCATTATTAAGGCTATGGAAGGTTCTGCCCAAAACTTTACATCTCCCACTTGTGCATGTCATATTAAAATATAAACCCACACATTGTGTAAACACTTCAAGAAACATTTGACAGCTTTAAGAACAGACTGTTTTTTATATACCCAATGTGTGATCTCACACTTTTTCCTGCAGATCGAATGCTCAAGCATATCTGAATATTCTGAGAAGATTATCAAGTCTAATCACCTACACAACGGTGAGTCAAAGGTGATTTTCCATTTTCCATTGCTTAGATATCCATCTGTTTGAATGGAGGACTCTTTAATGACATTGAGGTTAGAAGGAGCGTGGAAAATGTATATTTCCCTCATTACAGTCACGCTTGACAGTATTAGTCACCGTTCTTGATGGTTAACTGGCAGCTCTTCCCACAGCCAAATAATCGTGGTCGTTGGCATCAATCAGAACTCCCCCAGAGGGGTTATTTTCATTGTTATCCCACCCTTAGAAAGACAGATGGTGGAGTGGCTACAAAAAGTGCAGCATTCTGAAAAATTCTGCTGTTAATGTTTGATAATTACAACTGTTTACCTTATCATTAGAGTAGAAAGCTAAACATTAATGTACAGACCCAGTGAAGGGCTATTTTCAACAGCTTATTTAAAGAATATGATATATAATCTAAGGTATTTTTATTTGGTAATATGTTTCGTACCATATTTGCTGTTAGATTTATCAGCTTTTACTTCTTCAGCTGAGATGTAACAAATATGGCTGGACTCAAAGGCTTCGTAGTGGCATGAGGAAACAAGACTTGAAATATTGTTCTTGAAAATATTTAATAATTGGACTATTTTACCCAAAGCTACTAACCCAGCATGAATCGTTGTCCAATTTACTTTATCAGAATGAAGACATTTCAAAGTAATTTGTCTCCTGCTGCCTTGTTTCTTTTCACGGTACAGTCATTACCATCTTCAAGGGCAAGGTGGAGGAGGTGGAACTACCTGTGGAGAAGGTGGACATCATCGTCTCTGAGTGGATGGGTTACTGTCTGTTCTATGAGTCCATGCTGAACACGGTCATTTTCGCCCGGGACAAGTGGCTGGTATGAAAATGATTGGGCTATTTGATGTGGGGGTTTAATGCATGTACATGTTCACTTGCTTGAATAGACAAATGAGGCTATTGACGCATGAAAAGAAAAGGATTTGATAAACTAGAGGGTTTACTGTGTGGGTGTGTGCCCAGATGCTGAGGTTATGCACGAATGAATTTGTTGCTGGCCTCAGTAACAGCTGGAGGCCGTTAAAGCCAGCACATGTGATCCTAGATTACATGCCAGGTGTGTGAAGAATAAAAATGATCGATGGTCTTTGTGTTTGCTCTCTGAATAGCTGAATTCTGTATTCTGTGCAGAAACCTGGAGGTCTGATGTTCCCAGACAGAGCAGCTCTTTATGTGGTAGCCATTGAAGACAGGCAGTATAAGGACTTCAAGATTCATTGTGAGTAATCAGTCATGCTTTGTTCCTTTGTCTTGTATGTTTGATTCTCAGTAGTGCTTCCAGTAGTGACTATGAGCGGGTGCAGGTTAACTTTAACTCAGACCCCATAAAGCAAAGACCACCTTAAGAGCAAGTCTAAACATAATTTTAGTTACTATTATTTACATATCCGGTTAACACATCTCATGTATCTTTTTTATTATCAAACCAAACATATCTTGTTGTTGAACATTTAAAAATAACTGGTTCTGTTTGCCAGAATAAAATAGAAAATGTTTTAGATGTTTTTTTTTTGTTTTGTGTCTTGCTTTGCTTTCTTTCAATTCAGAGACATAATCACATATGTTTAATAAAACTGTGGAGACATTGGGGTTATCTGCTTCATCAACTATATGTTTAAAGCAGGCTAAAAGCTGGTCTATACTCAGAAACCAGGTCGTTTGCGTGTGTGTCTCAGTGAACGCAAATGTGCCCCCGCCCCCTCTGCAGACACTCTCCAAAATTGTAGGTGACTGCAGACAGTGCTGCAGACAGGAGGCCTCTGACTGGTCAAATCTACATCCGCTCTACACTATCTGAGTTTCCTGTATTGTACCTTACCGTCTTGTTTTGTTTGTATGACCGCCATTGTGGAAAACGACTCATGAAGTTGGACCAGCTAGAAGAGAGAGGTGCGTGAGAACGCTGGGACCCTTTTTCCACCTGGATCCCCACTCTTTTTCACCCTCATGTCCTTCCGTTGTCGCACAAACTCGCCCCCACTTCCTCACCGCCTCGGCCGTATCTAGACCCACTAGTTCTTGATTGTCCCTCTTGCATTGTGGTGTGGAATAACATAGCGCAGACCACGCTTCAATATTGGGCATAAATCGAAAATATCTGCTCACTGCGACTCACTGCTGCGGGAGCATAACCAGTCCTTAAGCTGGGAAGTCCCAGATCTGACATATCCTGAGTTTGTCCTTCCTTCTTTCGTGGCAGACTATGTATTCTGCTTTTGTTGTGACATCATGGGAAATATATTGAAAAAAGAACTATGGACCTAATTAGGTCTGGTTCATTTTAGGGTAAATATTTAAGATGCCAGACCTACCCTATTAAACTATTCAAAAGATTATTCAAATATAAACACAATGAAGATATCAAATTTGGTGATGGGGAGTGGTGGCCTAGTGTTTAGGGCATTGCCCTTGGGTCCCATAGGTTCTGAGTTCAAGCCCCACTCCCACAGACTGCCACTCTGGGTCCCTGCCTACCCGAGCGCCATACAATGGAAGCCCACTGGTCCCCAAGGTGATAGGTTAAATGCAGAGATTTAATTTTGTTGCTCTGTACTTGTGACTGTGTAATGACAACAATAAAGCTGGAAAAAAATCATACAACATTCAGAGAAAAGATTGATACGTTTAATGTTAAATGAGCACATCAGCCCAAACCAAAAGCAAAAGATCTTTAGTTAATGGTTGAGAAAGTCATTATCAACAATCAAATGAGTCATTTTGACAGATTAAAAGTTACATCCATGAACCCCGGCACACTACTTCATGAGTTACAAGGGAGGTGAAGGTAAACCAAGTTAGTGTTTTTGGAGGGAGGATCATGATGACTTTAACTGTGACCAGGGGCAGACTTACCATACAGGCTAAGTAGGCAACTGCCATGGACCCCAAACCAGCAGGGGCCCTACCTGTGAGGGGGCCTGCTAGTTACCCAATCATCTAAGAGTGCCTCAGGTATATTTATGCCTGTTGTAAATGAAATAATGATTTAGCATAACAAAAATTAGAAAACAAATTTTACCTAAAAAAACCATCAACCTCTGTAATTTCCTTTCCATATACAATAATGGAACAAACCTGCCCATTACTTAAACATCTAGAGTTGCAGTGTAGAGCAGCAGGATATCAGAAAACACAGAGGTGAAGGAGAGCTATAGGAGAGTTGAAAAGTGAGGTAAAAAAAAAAAACTATCAGTACTACTAATAATGGCTTAAAGACTGCATAATTTCTGAATAGCCCCAGATCTCATGAAAGAAGACTTGTATGTCTGTTTAAAAAGATAACATTAATTCCACAAATTACATCAAATTTAAATATGTTTTTATCAAAAACTAATCAGAATGTTTTTATTATATTTCATATATTCACTACCCACTCCACCATCTTCATCTTTCAATCTGGCAATGAAATAAGAAGAAAGACAAGACAGAAAAAAAACGCTATTTGTGCACATGATACACCACGCTGCACAACTACGACATGTGGAGACGGACTGGAAGTCTGTCTATCCTTTAATGGCCAGAGCAGCTGTTCCGTCAGCCTGCTTCCATAATAAAAACAACAAAATAACATTGCAGCAGGGGAACACTGATTTCAGAGCAGCTGCCATCCACAGTGTGGGATTCTGGTGCATCTTTGCATACAGGAACAGAAAGAAATAGATTAATCAAGACCAAGGATAGCAATAGAAATGTAAGTTACAGCTAATTATCTATTAACCCAGCATGGCGTGAGGTGGAAGTTTGCTTCAATATGCATCAGAACGATTATGAGGAACTGAGAGTAGATTAACTTTACCTGAGCTGAAAGCTCTGGTTGTGATGGTCTACAGAAGAAATCCTCTCTGGGAGCTTCTAGCTAGATCTGCATCAAGGTATAAAACATTTCTGTCCCTTAGTTCAGTCAAAATAAAAGCTTTTACTCTTAAAGTAGCAAAACACATTAAAAGGTCCTTTAGATCATCACATGGCTGTAGTCAGTACGGTTCTACATGCAGAAAAAATACGTTTCTCAAACTGGGGACATTTTTCCTTTTCTCCTGGTGCCTTATTTTCTGTACTGATTCTCAGATTTTAGCCCTGGGTTGTTTTAGGTTCAGGATTAAAAATAATTAGTAGCCTAATAGCAATAAATCAATTAATCAGTTCCTTCATTTGTTTACTGTTATATTTTTTGGAGCAATATGTGCAATATATAAAGTTATAGACTAAACAAATTGAACAAATATACAGTTTCACTCAATATAAAACCTATATATTATTTAGTGTATATAGTTCTTGATAACTTAAAATATTAATACTAATAAAGAAAAAAGAAATGTCCAGGGTGAGATTCTATGTTATATGTAAGGCCCAAAAATGAACCACTTTTTCTCTCCAGAGGGTACAGAACAAAGTTATGAAAGAAGGAACATATTCATATGATCAATGTAAATCAAATGTTTGGAAACTAAAATAATTAAAGGTGTTTTTAGGATTCTGCCTCTGGGCTGAGATTCAAGAAAATCTAATTTATATCAGTTTAAGAGACTTTTGAGTTTAAAAAAGGTTCATTAAAATAATAAAAAAAATCAGATAAAGGTTTTTCTACTTAACTTAGAAGATTGATGATCTTCAGTGAAATGTTGTTTTTATTTTCAGCTTTTAGCTTTTTTAAAATAGATAAAAATACTAAAAAAGTGATATTTTTGTACAACTTTCTTGTTGTAATAGCTTAATTTTACAGCAAAGGGTTTATTACTAAAACTTAATATGAATATCTTTATTCTATCAGATATATTTGTCTTCTAACAAGTATATTTGGTATATTTTCCAAGGCGAGATAGGATATTTGACCATCATCCTCTCCTTTAAGGAGCTAAAAGCCACGCCTCCTATACAGTTCAACAATGTTGCTGATTTAAACACATCATCCATCCATTTTGAATTAAGCTCTGGGGTACAAGGCCATTGAAACACAGCACCCTCCAAACCAACATGTATATCTTCTATTGATGGATCAGCATCTAATTTCTTAGCTGTGGAGGCAAGGTGAGGCACTGAGGTACAGCCTCTACTGTATCTTGTTCACAGTATAGCAGTCTGAAAGCTGTGGCAGCTCTACAAAATCTTAAAAACTCAAGGCTGACTGGGGCTGACTTTGACTAAAGGGGCTCCGAAGTGGCTAAGTCCGCCCCTGACTGTGACCCTTGGAACTATGGTCAGACCTGAATAGATGTGTGGGAGCATGATTGCCTGCTAACCTTACTCAGTTACATGACTCATTAAACTGAGTAAGGTTAGTAGGCAGTCATGAATTGTAAATACCAGCAAACTATTTTCAAATTCTGATGGAGGATACTTTAAACGTTTGACGCAATATGTAGACATCTAACTTTGAAGAATATATTATACAATCTACTGCTGGTGAAGATTCTCAGTCATCCAGGTCATAGTCATTCCAAAACAAAATAAAAAGAATTTGGAAAAAAAAAAAGTCCAGTGAGCATTTGTTAAATATTAAAGTAAATAACTTAAAGGTTGAATATTTATCCCATTGAAAATATGAATTTATGGAAAAAAAAAAAAAAGAGGTAACCATCTTCACATGGAATTTCTGGTACATTTGATTATTTCTGTCACTTTTATAACACGCTTTTTACTTAATACTATAAAGATGCTCTAAATTCACATTTAAAACCTTTGCTGAATAGGAAAGACATCCCAAGGTGCTAAATAAATTACAGCATATTAGTGTGGCCATTTGCAACCAGTAAATAAGAGGCGATGATAAGTAAAAGAACGGGAAGGGATTTTATTTTAATAATTGGGAAGTCTTGTTGTAGTGGCACACTTTGTTAAAAAGTTAATTCCTTTTCCAGCTCACACCTGCATTTTATACCTATTTGCTGCCAAGTCATCCCCTCCAACTCTAATTACGTTTTCTAATTATTATGCAATTACCTTTACTTATCGAGAACTTTAAAGACCTTTGGTTTTGAGCACAGGTCATTGATTTACTGTTGGGTTGAGTTCAGGGCTGTTCTTAATGTTAGGCTGCTTTCTTCATTCCAAAACTAGCTCTGATCTTTGTTTTATACTGCTTCAGAGCTGTAGAAGCATAAGCTAATTCCCCACAGGTCTTCAGGCGAGGAATATACAGTGGAATATATTTGTAGATCTGAGTGATCACAAGCTGGCGTGGACAGGGAAGAGGTCAGTGAGCTATGTGTGTGCTTATCCATGTAGGGCCCTGGATGTGAAGGTACATATTTCAAAACCGACCCTCTACAGTGGTTCCAAACCTTGCTCCGCAAGCACCCCTGTGCTGCATGTTTAAGGTGTCGCCTAGCTGCAACACCTCTGTTATATAGATGAGTGATTTATAGGCTGTAATGGCACATGATGGCTACTGAGGAGGTCATGAAGTCATTTGAAATCAGGTGTCCTGGAACAAGGAGGCATCTAAAATATGGAGGGCACACTTAAGTAACAGGGTTGAAAACCACCGATGAGGTAAGCATGGCGTGTGGCATATGGATACTTATTTGTCCCTGTAAGTAACCTGCTGCAACATTCTGAGGACTGCAAGAGGTGATAGATGGTTTTAATGAATGATGAAAAGAATATATCGCAGTAATCAAAATGGGATCAAATTAAAGCGCGAATTAGCATCTTCATATCTGCTGTGAAGATTACAGCCTTTAGTTTAATAAGATATTATTAGCAACTTGATTTTATCAAAACGTAGTTGGACACCATTCCTTTATTGGCTCAATATGTTTGAGAAGTGATGTAAGATATTAAAAGCGACCGCCACTGTGAGTCAAAGGTTAGGGATCGGGCAGAAACTCCCTCAGATACGTCTTAACCAGGTAGCACATAACCCAGCCTAGGACCACACCTGTCCAACCACTCATTTAACCTATTTATAAAGATTCAAAAGCCCAACTTAATTTAAAGTGGAACATTATCTATCTGCATATTGTTATTGATTTTGAAGGTGAGTTCAGAATTTTTTTCTTCTCTTAAACCTTCCCTAAAGTATCAAACAGAACATCTCTAATGTTTTTGTAAGATTCTGTTTCCAGAGGAAAAAGAGCAAGAGGTTACCGTCACACTAATCAAACCCAGGCTCAACAATGACAAGTTTTCCAGCATGGTTGTTTATTCAGAACTGGGTCTTTGATACACTGACAATAAGTCTGTAACATATTTTGGTGTTAAACCATTCAGTGGTTGATTGACTAACCAAAATATTTTAAAAATGGTAATATTGAGAAAAGCAAGGTTGCTTTAATAATACACTTTATCTACTCTGGATTGTTGGATCTGGTTCCTCTTGACAATTCTTCAATTCTTTAACCCCTTGAACCCTACGGACCCACCGGCGGGTCCAGCTGCCACGTGACCTCGTAGTTTTACCAAACCCCCAGTATTGATGTAAAAAACATATTTGGCACAGTTTGGTGACATTTTTGGATAAATGTGCCAAAATGGCCTCTCCGCCTAAGAAATTTCTCACTAATACCATTCTAAAATAAATATGATTCATCTGATTGAGTCCAAATTTGGTATATTTTTACACAACATTTAGATTTAAAAGTCTGTACTACTTTTTTGTGCTATAAATAATATTTTGGTAGTGTTTTGCAATGTTTATTTCAAAGAAAATTTTGGCGAGGTTCAAAAAATGCAAAATATTTTGTATTTTGTCCCTAATATTTCAGGCAGGGTCAAAGCTACAATGGTGCTGACACCAGAAAACCATTCTATGACATCTTACCTTTACAGACGTACCAAAAGTTTCTTCTTAAATCTAATAGCTGTGAGGCTATAAGTTATTTACTTTTGTGTGTTTTTGTCAGGCAGAAATTTATTTATACCCCCTTAGGGTGTAAGAGGTTAAGCCACCTGACAACATTATGACTTGTAAGTTGGAATGCTGATTGAGAACATTTGCATGGTTATTAAAGCAGCAGGGTATTGGTATGTTTGGCACTGAAGATGCCAAGTCCTGATAACTTGTTCACCTCTGTAGTTTTACATGCTAAGGAGTAGCATAACACAAGGAATGCATCAGTCATAGCCTCCTGCATCCATCATAGTTGGTGGCTTTTGATAACTGGACTTAACACCTTCAAGGCTCATCATGTTTGAACCTTTTTGAATTAAATAATTGAACTGAATCACAAGAACTACTTTTATTTGCAAATGCATGCCTCCGAAAGGTTCAGACTTTTTTCATTTTGTTGATTAGGCCTCCGTTTCCTGCAGGGCATCCACCTCTGCATGTATTCAAATAGCCGGCACAGCCAGAGGTCCGAGCTTAAACCCATGGTCAAGATCAAAGCTCTAATTTTAAAGGTGCCGCTCAGTCTGGCATCCACACTGAATAACTCCTACAGAGTTTTCCTTTCGCTGAGCAGGTGGTCCACTTTATTACATCTAAAAACAATGAAAAATGGGCTCCTTTTTTATCACACAAATCCTAAAAGAATCGAGTCCTTCTGAAAGCTTCAGGTTTGTATTTTTAGCTTTTATGCGTCGGTGTTGGATTCCTCAGCCACATGTACTTAGCGTCTGGCCGCTTGACAAAATAAGGTGGAGTGGAGGGACAGAGGGAATGGGGGAGGGAAAGCTTGTTAAAAATATTTTCGGAACAAATAATAATAATTTTCAAAAAAAGCTGCCAGACATTTGGAGGAGGCTGCAGCTTATTTTAAAAAACTTTTTCTTTCATGCTGAGCTTGAATTAAAAGAAAACTGAACTGGTCTGAATGCTTTGTGCAGAAAACAGGAGAACTGATCAATGCTAGCTTGAATTGATCATACAGGACATAAAGAAAGTGCATACTGTGAGCATGTGTGTAAGCAATGTATTTTTGTGCATAACAGGGTGGGAAAACGTATATGGGTTCGACATGAGCTGCATCCGTAATGTGGCCATCAAAGAACCTCTGGTGGATGTGGTCGATCCTAAGCAGGTGGTGACTAACGCCTGCCTCATAAAGGTGGGTCTATATATAATATTTTGCAAAATGAGGGGTTGGGTATATTTTTGTCTTTCATGTCAGATTGTGTCAAACACTGAGGGAAAAAAAAACGTACAAACTATATTTATGGTACACATCCAGATGTGATATTTTATGTGATCAAATTCTGGAAAGTCACAGACAGCCATCACTTCCAGGATCTCTGAGCATTTGCCGTCTGCAGAGGCTATTTTCTAGAACATAATAGAGCTTTCTGGCACGTTGTAAATAGACTACAGCTCTGTTTATTTTCTCCAGGCAACAACATTGGCTTGTCTTTCTTCTCCCAAATGAAAAGAAGATAGAGCATTCAGAGACATTGATAGCTTTTTTTATTGTTCGTCCGCTAAACCTTTTCTCACTGCTTTCTATTTCAATGCTTACTTTATTTTTCTTTGTACCAGGTTACATTATCCAATACTTTGTTTTTGTCTGATCTTATTTCACACCTACTTCTAACACTTCAACCTTTACCTTTTTAAACCTCTCAAAAGAATCAAGGGCACAACCTCTGCAAAAGGGAAGATATCACCTCCTTTTATTTTACAAAGAGGGTTTGCAAAACATCACAAAACATTGGCTGTTCTGCTGGAATTAAACCTTTTTACAGTACTTTGCAAAAGTAGTTTCTTCTTAAGTCATGTTATGAGCAAAAAGTTAATTTAATTGGAATAAGATTCAAATAACAGATCAACTTAAAATACATAGTTGTGAGAGGAAGGAAAATAGTGATGTTTGACTTTCTTGATTACTAATAAAGCTGTTTTTATTCTGATACCCATAAATACAAAACAAAGCAAGCAAATTACCTTAGGAATTTACCTAATTGGCCTTTCAAATACAAAGCTGGTAGAAATATACCAAAGACTTCCAGCTGCAATTGCAACAATTATTGATGGGATTTCAATAATTTAAAAAAACAATCACATGCACTTTCAGGCATTTAGGTCAAAATTTTCCAAAAAAGTTTTACTTCATAATTATGCACTATTTTTAGTTGGTTGATCTCCAAAAAACCCCATAAACTGCTTTTAGATTTATGATCTAACGTTACAAAGAGTGGAGTTTAAGAGGTATAAATACATTTAAAAGACCCTGAAGATGTTATTAAGAGCTCATTCACATTACCACCCCCAAACCCCCACCTCCATCAACACCTCTCACTATCCTAATTCATGCTGTCACTCATTTTTCACAGGCTTAAATTACAAAGTAGCTCCCGTAGTTTTTTTTCACACCACCCCCATTTTGCTGCATAAGTTATGGTCCTGATATTACTGGGGAGGACAAAGGTGTTAAATCACAATTTGTCATGCTGATGTTAAACTACTTTGGCATAATAAACAGGTCGCAGTGCAGAAATCCCTCTCTGCACTTTTAAAAGTCATCATCTACAATGTGAGGTGGAGACTTCTCTCTCTCTCTCTCTATTTTGAACCGGTTGAGTTCGGCAGCAGGTTGCAAAAAGTCAAAGATGTCTCTAAGGCAATGTATCCACAAGGCAGTACTTGATATATTACACAGACTGAAAAAAAAATCTCCCTCCCAAGAGGACTCGAGTGAGGACGCCCACACAGCATGTGTAGTGTGAGCATGTTTGATTATCCAGCCATGATTCAACCTGTGGGCTTTCACACACACAATTCACACATGAACAAAAAATTGTGGTGAATACTGAAGCAGCTCCGGCATATACATGGGCTGCATGTGTGAGGGAGATAGCAAGTACTAGGGACAAGTGGTGAGCATCCATCTGAGCCACTTTACCATCACTAACCTGATAAGCCAAAGAGAAAAGACATCTTTCTAACCATTTTTAACAAAAAAAAATGTGTTTGTGTGTTTTCAAGGAGGTCGACATCTACACCGTGAAGCCAGAGGACTTGTCGTTCACGTCAGCTTTCTGTCTGCAGATCCAGCGCAATGATTACGTTCATGCGTTAGTCACTTACTTCAATATAGAGTTCACCAAATGTCACAAGAAGACTGGCTTCTCCACAGGTGAGATTGAAGCAGAATAACTTTGATAAAAAAAAAAAAATAATTAAATCTAAGGTTTAGCCATCTGTGAGAAATACAACAGGAACTGAAATGGAAATCTTAAACTTAGAATGAATGAAGTTGACCTGAGCAACATTAGCCCCGCCCACAAATCTTATAATACAAGTAATAACTGAAACATTTAGGAACAATTTATGTACTCATATGTAGCATTCTTACAGTGTGTGACCTTCATACACCAATTATGGTGAAAAACAATTATACAATTCCTTTTTATTACATTTATAAAATAATTGGGATTTCTATTTTACTGAATGTGTTCAAGTTAAAGCCTTAGTTATTTCCTGTGTGAAATAATCTCATGCTAAAAAAAGGATTTTAAGGTACTTTAAATATCTTTAACATAGTTTTATCATTTATTTACAAACAGTAATTTAAATTGTGCTTCTAAAAGGAAATATGACAATATATAGACTTGTTTTATGCCGATTATTTAATACATTTTAGCTTTGCTCAGCTTTAGTTGCAGAGATCCAATAAAAACAGAAGAACATTTAAAAAAAAACTTCTTGCAAAAAATATTTAAAAAGAAAGATATCAGTAGAAACCCTTAGTTGGCACTGGCAGCTATACACGTACTCCTACACTAAAATAATATATCTCAAGAAGAAACATGTTAATTTTACATTCTCCATCACATTTTAGTGGTTTAACTACTAATTACCCGACATTCTTCTGGCTACTTTCTACAGAAGTTAGACAAACCAAACTGGTGTTTTTGCCAGAGGAATCACCACTCAACTCCACGTAAGCAGTTATGTAAGGCTGTTTTAATACATTCACATATCAGCTGCTTACATAATATCGTGTAGAGGAGGTTCTATGTTTGGCTGTGTCTGTTGGGGCTGAAGCAGAGCATCACAGAAGGAGTTGTCTCCTATCCGCCTTTATATTTCTCCCACTGGATGACTGGATGTCAGCCAGTATGCTTTTAAAAAAATTCAATTCAAACAAGCCCAAGGCAGGTTAGAGCTCACCAGAACTGGTGTCCTTATTCTCCCATGACAATATCTTCCCTCTCTTCTAGTCATGCTTTAAATTCTCTTACTTCCTTCCCCTCTTCTACCTTTCTCGTTTCATCTATGCCTTTAACTTCTGAACTCCGTTTTCCTTCCTTCCTCAGCTCCAGATGCTGCCAGCACACACTGGAAGCAGACTGTGTTTTATTTAGAGGACTACTTAACTGTCAAGAAAGGAGAGGAAATCTTTGGCAGTATCACTGTTAGACCCAATGAGAAGAATGTGGTAAGATCAAGAAATTCAACCTGTACTGATGCTGTACAGATCCTTATTGTGTGAATATAAAAAAAAAAAAAACATATGTTTTCTATTCTAATTATGTAAGCTTAATGGAGACAATAATCGCTATGATTTAAAGTAACTTAAGGAATATAACTTGATGTTATAAACTTTAATTTGTGATGTGGAGGAAAATTAAGCTTGGTTTTGAGTACATTTTACAAATTAAGTGTGGCAGTCCTCTAACAGCTTTACACATCTCTAGACTAGTTTTCATTTTATTTAAGCTCAGTTGGAATCTTTAAATTTCATGACGGATTCTCCGTTGTATTTGGGTCAGGACTTTGACATTGATCAAACACAGTTAGTTCTTGCAGATTTGCCCTGTATTTAGCTTCATCCATCATCTCATCAACTCAGAGGAGCTTCTCTGTCCTTAGTGAAGAAAAGCCCCCACACAGCATGTTTTACTATAAATAGTGCTTTTTTCAGGAGCTTCATATGCTTGTTTAATATCTGTCAAAATGTTCAGTAGAGATAGACAGATATAACCGATATTTTTGGCTTATATTAGTTACTTTTTTTTGTACCTTATGGGAAGATACCTGCATTCGTTTGCTGATTTATTAGTGCAGGGAACAGCAATGCCTTAAAATCAAGTGGATTCCCGCTTCTTCGACTTGCTATCACTTGGTAATGTTTTCTTTGATTAGTTAATCTTTTTCTTTTGAAAAACAGAGCCTTTCATGACATTTGTTATTATTGTGTCATTATTATCATCTAAATTTAGGAAAAGAAAGTAATATCTGATGTCAAATGAATCAGGATCAGCATAAAAAAAAATCTGTTTTGGTTGATCCTTAGTATTTATCATCCTGACCAAAAAAAAAATGGTATTCTCATTTGCCCAAAGACGGTTCTTTCTCACGTTTATGCAAACCTTTACGGAAGCGTGTTGCATTCACCAAAGAAAAAAAATGAGGCAGCATATGTCGTAATTACGAGATACTGGTCTTGTAATTATGAGATCATATCTTTTAAGTATGGGAAACGATCTCATAATTACGAGATCTTATCTATATATATGGTTAAGCCAGTAATGTAGCTCTCAGAAAACTGGTCTTCATGATGACTTCTTAAAAATATTTGCATCTGTTCTACTGAACAGTTCTCTGTACCCAGGTCTGACCTGATACACATTGAATAATAATTGTCCTCACAACAAAGTTCTACTGTGCTTTAATTTCCTATAAGGCTTGAAGGATTTCAGATTCAGTTGGGCTAAAAACACAAACATTTCATTTGGATTTTATCTGTAAAACCGTTTAAAACCATATATTATTTTTCTTCCACTTCAGTATCAATCACTATGTTTAGTTGGTCTATGTTGTAATTAGGAAAATGTAGAAAAAGCTTAAAGGGTATGCATATTTTTTTCAAACTACCTTGCATGCATTTCTTTTCTAATTTGGTGAGATTAGTAAAATTGTCTGGAATTTACAATAGAGATTTAAATTGAATATGAGAAAAAATGATTTTAGGTACCTTTCTAAGCTGATCATGTCATGTTTCATGTTATAGTTTGTACAATTTTATATTTTGTTAATGTGAAAAATAGATAATGTTGATTGTTTTTGAGTTAGCTTATATGCTTTTACTTTTACATTTTTATATCAATTTTTTTCTCAAGTAGAGCAATTTTGCATTTTATTTTTCAGCGTGACCTGGAGTTCACCCTTGAGCTAGATTTTAAAGGACAACTATGTGAAGCTGCTATTTCTCATGACTATAAAATGCGTTAGAGGCAAACAAAGGCACCGAAGAGGATCCGCCCCAAGCTCACCTGGACACAACTGGAGAGGGGTGGAGGCCGAAGGCTGTCCAGGAAGCATTCCGGTTTATCAGAGTGGGAAGTAAACGGGTCATCTTACAGGATGCCATGAAGTCTGCATCCATGTGATGCAATCAGAGTGAGCATAGAACTTTCTCTCAGCAATAGTGTCATCACTGATAGTGCTGGTCAGAAGCTTATATCCGGTCATCATGGGTATGATCAGTATCATCCATTTAAGTCTTTAGTTGAAGCATTTGTATCAGATTTTTTCCAGAAATGCCAAATAACTCTAGGTCAAAACCACAGATAAAGACCCCTATCAAGTTGCAGGCAAGGCATTTTAAAAGGGCCTGCTTTGTCCATTCATAAATCTGTTTAATATTTAGGATCATTGTTCTGTTTTAACATCCAACAATGTTTAAATTGAAGTTTCTGACTTAAACTGGCATTGGTAAAAGAACAGGCTATACACCTAAAGAGGCTTTGACACTGTTACTGTCCACAGAATTGGGCGTTTACCATCACAATCATCTGAGAATTTGCTGACCAATCAGAAGACACAGCTCCAAAACTATGAAACTAAAATAATATGAAAATTGATATGGATAGGAAAAATATCTCTTGGTATATTCAGACAAAAAAAAATCCAAAACTGTATAAATTAAATGATATTGTTTTGAAGAATTCTTCCTAAAAACATTGAACCAACTGACAAGCAGTTCTCAAGTTGAGGAGGGATGGCATCTCCCTTCTTAAAAATCATCCCCCTTCTTAAATGACTATCCCCCATACAATCCCCTGCGACATTTTATTACTGAATGTTAAAATTTGTACTATATATTAATAGTAATGGCATTAATATTGCCCTGTCAGCATTTGGTTGTGGGCTAACGAGTATCCTGAGCAAAATGAATAAAATCAAAGAAGTGGCCTACCATGACTAAGAAGCTGATGCCAGTGGGAAAACTCGCCCTCTGCATTTGTTCCTAACTATGTAGGGTCAGTGATAGCCATTACAGTCTAGAGACTGGCTGCAGTTCTACTGTAAGATGCCTTGGTCAAGGTCCATGACCGGCATTACTGACATGTTACAACCACACTATTCATATCTCTTTAGGATATTTTTTACAACTAGACCACTGCTGGCAAGCATGGTATTGGCAGCATTATACTGGGGGGGCAGCATTGCTCCCAGTGGCATTAGTTGAAATGGTAAAATGATCCATAACAAACAACTTAAAAATGTTTTTTAAATAAAGACAGCAGTCTGACCTTAGGTTTCTGGAATAAGACTTACCTGTACCTAAACATGATTAAAACTATCTAAACTAGGTTAAAGAGCTAGCCTTGTGCTAGAAAACAAATAAAAAATGGGTACAGTCTGTCTGGCAACAGACATTTTTAACTATTCAGACATTATGCCACTTGCTACCTTACGTTTATAAGACGTGTGTTTCAATTGTTTCGTGCAATTTATAAGGACATCTTTATTAAATAAAGGGTTCATATTTGTTTTTGATTATCAATCCAACCTAATAATAAAATCAAATCAAATATTAAAAAAATTAAAATTAGTGTGACATTATTGCTAAAGATTAACGCATGGGTTCAGGGTGTTCATATTGGTTCTGACAGAGGTTAACTCTTCAAACAAATTAAATCTAAATAAGTCATTTTTTCTTAAAATAAGAGCATTCTATCTTGAATTGAGGAGGTAAGTGAGGCACTTTACCAATGGAACAAGACAATTTATATTTAAAATAAGAAAAAACAATATCATTGTCTTATTTCAAGTGCATATTTTCTAATCATCTTATTTCAAGACAGACAAAAAAACTAATTCCACTGGCAAATCATCTTCTTCACCGACTCAAATTAAGGATAAATGCACTTAATTTAAGACATTTTTACTTATTTCTAGATTGTTTTTGCAGTGAATGTAACAGCTAAAAAATAGTATAGTTAAATATGAGACAAAAACCATTGGGAAAAAAATATATCAAGCTGTTTTTAGCCTTCCAAAATTAGGCTATATGATGTGATATTGCCTTTGACACTTAAAAGAAATACACGTACCTTCCCTGCTACATCAGCTCTCCCTGTGTAAGTGCTTCCCATTTCAGTCGCCCTCAAACTGCTAAAGCATGGAATAGGTTAAAAGGCCACTCCTGAAGATTATGCTCTTCTTTAGGAAGGCAACACAAAGTTTGTGACCTCTTGCAGGCGAAAAACACATTTTTTGTGACTTAGACATGAGCTTACAAAAAACCAAAACTGTTGCTGTCACTGTGCAGATTAGGTGCTAAAAGAGCCAGTTAATCTGAAGTTTGAGCAGAAATGATCGCGCTCTGGCTCATATCCCGGCCTGCTGATGATGCAAAGCAGTTTTTTTTAGTAGGGAGTAGGTGCTTCCTGAGGATGGGATGTAATGAATGTCCTATATAAATAATGATGGCCGCTTGTTTTCCACAGCAGGGAAGGGCTAAATTCAAGAGGATTACTCAGACATGCATAAATCAAGGAAAATACCACTTTGGTCATAATTTTGATAAAGGAATAGCATAATGACATGGTAAAAAAAAAAAAAAAAAAGTTTGCTTTGCATGATATAGACACATTAATGTTAGCAATTTGTAAAACTAATGTGATTTCAAAAGTGTAACTGTCTGTGAAGAATAGCATTATGAAAAAAGCTGTCTCTAGGTTTACTAATCACCTCAGTGGTTTCAGATAGTATCATTATCATTTGGAAAGCAAGCATTTTAAACTCAAACCAGGTCAGATCTGGTGCAATGGAATGCCATGTTTTTAATGGAGTGTAAAAATAATTGGGAAATATTTGTGCCTCTTATGGCTCATTATCCTCAAGTAAACATTTTGAGATTATTAGTCATTAAAAACAAGCAGGATATGTAGAACTGTAATAATATTAACATCCAATTAAACAGAGGACTAAAACCTTCAAAAAGAAAAATATATACATTTGTGTCGCTTCAATCAATCTTTTATAGCGTTTTAATGCTTTTATCAATAATAGCTAAAATTTTGAAATCATATGATTTGTAAACTAAGCGATGTGGTTTGCATGCAGCTCCACAGACTTGGTAGTTGCATTGGATAGAAAGCTGTCAGTATATGTGATTTTGTTTATTTTCGCTTTTGGGTGGTGGTGTCTGTAGGTGTGTGTGTGTTTGTGCGTGTGTGTGGGAATAATCATAGAAATTATGCTTTACATATTTCTTTTATTGACCCCAATTCAGAACAATATGCTTTGGCCTCAGAAAAACAAAAACAAAAAACAAATGGAAAATGTCTAAGATGAGACACACATTGATGTAACAGATAATGTTTTTGAAGATAAGCTCAGAAAAGAAAAAAGTGGGATGTAATGATCAATAAAATGTGACAGAGCCATGTTTCTTTTTTTCTCCACATTTTCACCAAATTATACTCTAATAATGTAAACAAAGAGAATTAAAGAAGCTCTAACAAAAGTATAATGTGTTCTCAGTGACATGTCTCTAATTTGAAATGGCACAGTTTAACAACCTGTTTATATATATATATATATTTTTCTCTCACAGACATAGCATATACTTTAATGGTGCACTATTTACATTTTTTTTTCTTACCATAGGTAAGACCCTTTAAGCTGAAGAAATTCACCGTTTTCTTTTTTTCCCAAAGGATTAAGTGCTTCTCACCTATTTTTTATGAATTTTTTACTGAAATAAAATCTTTTTTTTTTTTTTTTAAAGAAACCTCATCTAAATGAGGTTTCTACAGCACTTCAACATTCTGAATTACTTTTCTGTTTTTGCTTTTGTGCAGCTGTCAGAAACTGATGTAGGACTCTGTATATTGCCGTTGTCAGAAATTCAGTCTTTCCTTGTTTTTGCAAAGCTGGGTGTCTTCACTTGCAGCAGGCTTTCTTCTTAATGGGCTGAGCGCTGAGGCTGACTGTTGTCTCTCTTACTGTGTCCTCCTGCTCCATTAAAATCCTTAAAAAAAAGAATGAAGGGGATGCTGCATGAGTCAGTGTATAATGAATTATTTTTTTTAGCTTATCTTGAATAAAAGTTTTAAAAATTCTATTAAAGGCGCTTGAATCTTACCTGGCCAGGTAAGTCAGGGACTCTATCACATTTTTGCCAGTATAGGCACTGACCTCATAGAATATCACATTGTTGTCCTACTTGAGACACACAAAATAAGACGTGAAAGATACAAAAACCTAACAATCGTCTCTTGTTTTCATAGACAAATATATGTTGTACTACATTGATTGTTACTTTATAAAACTTACCAAAGCTAATTGCTCAGCATCTTTAAAAGGAACTTCTCTCTCTCTTGCCATATCCATTTTGTTGCCAAGAAGGAGAATAGGTATCCCCTCACCTGCTACTTCCTGGAAATAAAAGGCAATTCTGTCATTTTTAAGAACAATAAACCCGTACAATACTGTCCTATGGATGAAAGCAGGTTAGGTTGTTTGCAAACCCTGTTAAAAGGTCAGGAGATCTGTTAAAAGGCTGTTAGCTGGAAAGCTGTAGGACCAGGTAGCCTGGTTTTTAGCAGTTACTTTCCTTTATTAGCGGGATAGATTCCAAGTGTTATTTTCCAAGAAAGAGCACAAAAGTATCATTTTATGAGGATTACCTTCTTTCTCTAAATTGAATGAGTTTATATTCAATCACAATGACTTTTATTCATCAGAATCACAATATATAAAACTGTATAGATTATATTAATATACCAATAAAGTATTTAAGTAAATTAATTAATTAGATTGATCATGGGGTTAAATTAGAAAAGTAAAAAGTTCAGAAATGATACACACTACTAAAACATGTACATTCCTTTTCTCTGTTGAGGAGGTTAGGAAATTACACATATAGATTAGTTGCAAATAAGATTATAAGGGAAACTATTGGCTTAACTTATGTCTGAGATTTTACTGTTTAAAAGGAAAATGCATCACAAAATGGCTGACTTCCTGTTTATTATAAAGGTAAAGAGCTATAAGAGTTGAATAGGCAGTAGAGAAATGTATGTATATTATATGTATTTCCTATAAAATTAGGCTAACAAAATATACAGGGCTTAGTAATTTTCTGAAATCTAAAATATATCTAAATTCATTGAAGCCAAATTTATGCACAAGTTTTTCTGACTTATGGTACATATTTAGAACCCAGCAAAACTTGCAGGTTGTGTCTGTATCTATGCAGACAGATCCTACATTAGGAAAACAACATATGTTTAATAAAATATTATTAGTGTAATAATCCACAAGAAAATTAATTAATTGGAAGAAAAACAGGTCCACATTGCAAAAACGATCAAGTAAAAATCTATTGAATTAAGTGTATTTACCCTTAATTTGACTAGATGATAAGATAAGATGATTTGCCAATGGAATGAGTATTTTTACCCTTAAAATAAGATAATTAGATAATATGCACTTGAAACAAGACAATGCCATTATAAATATAATTTGTCTTGTGCCATTGGCAAAGTGTCTACATTTCCTCCTCAATAAAAAAAAAATTAACTTGTTTAAAGAAAAAAATACTTTCAGATTTTTTTTTTTAGATTATTTGCAGTGCACATTATCACAGATCTCCCACCCTGCCCAACAGTGGGCAAGATCTGTTTTTCAGCATATTTGATCCATAAATCTGAATCCCAAATCATTTAGTGAGTTCATCTACTGTGCAAACAAATGCAAGTTCTCCTTGGTTTCAGACAAACAATACTATCCAAAATAAAGAGTAATTGCTTTGAATATATGAAGAGTTTAAAGATGACAGAGTAGACCTAACAAACGTCCTAAACTTCTTGCATAAAGAGTAAGAAATTATGAAGACCAGAAAACAAAAAATCACAACAATCAGTGGGATAAAGCTTAACAGGTTGAATGTCGCACCTGGACATTAAGCAGCCAGGGTTTGACAGCTTTAAAGGTCTCCTGCTCTGTGACGTCGTACATCAACACCACGCCATCAGCCTTGCGAAAGAACTGCTTGGTCATGCTGCGGTACCTGTTTAAAGGTCGGAGAAAATTAGGTAGAATGACAGAAAGCAAAACACTGCTTCTAATATTTAGAACATATACAAATGAAATCATCTTCCTAGGAATGCCGTGTTTTATAAATAAAACATTTGTTAATCAACTGCTGATTTTATGTTGGATCCCACCTTTCTTGACCTGCAGTATCCCACAGCTGCATTGCTATTTGCATGTTGTCCATGGTTAATGTCTTCACACTGTAGTCAATGCCTAATTAAAACAGGATTTGCATGTAATTCAGATTAACACATAAGACTAATGTAACAATTACATAACAGGGTAGAAGTTGCTGGTCCCTGCACTACTGGT